AACTGTCGGATTCACTTTTATATCTAGGGCAAATCCCCAATCGCCTCCATCTCTATTCTTGTTCTCAACTCTGAACTTGCCTCTCTCTATCTCTCTCTGCAACTGCAAACTACAAAATCTACAAGAATTAAAAGTTCAAAACCCATATATTTCAGTTTATCTATCTGTCTGCAAGAATCAAAATTTCAAAACCTATTACCTATATCAAAACCCATATCGGCATATCATTTCAGATTGTTCCAAAAATCAATATATCTCATTTTTTTCTGTTTATCAGCTTCTTTTACCCTAGTTGCAGGACAATTGGATATTATTTTTAAAACAAAATAAGGAGAGAAGAGTAATTTAGCCAATTTTCCTGACAACTAGGGAAGAAGAAGCTGAGAAAAATGAATAAACAGCTTCTTCTTCCCTAGTTGCAGGACAATTGGATATAATATCTCATTTTTTTTCTTTTCTTAGTTTCTTTTACCCTAGTTGCAGGACAATTGGATATATCTTTTTTCTCTGTGAAAAAAATTAGGGCTCCTATTTTGAATCTTCGATCTGAGGTGAGTCTCTTTTTCTGATTTTTGTGTTTTTTTCTTTTCATAAATTTCTATTATCATAATTATTCTCCTTCTGTAATTGTTTCTTGGGTACTCTATGCACAGCTTATTTATGTATAAATTATGAGGAGAATAATTTCAACGAGGAAAAGGATGAGATTCATCTCTAAATGCACCAAAAAAACACAAGGTACATACATATTTATGTCTCTGTACTTTTATTTTTGTTGGTCAATAGCTATGTTAACTTTGATCAATCTTAAAAGTGGTTTTTTTTTTTTTTTTTTGAGTGATTCGATTAGTCTTGTGTCTTATTTAAAGGTTATTTTTTTTATTTTTTTAGGTGTTTGGGTTAGTCTAGTGTTTTTGCTGAGGCATTCTTATTCAAAGATTTTTTTTTTGGGTGATTGGATTGGTCTAGTGTTTTTGCCAAAGCATTCTTATTTAAAGGTGTTTTCTTTTCTTTTTAGGGTGATTGGATTAGTCTAGTGTTTTTGCCGAAGCATTCTTATTTAAAGGGGTTTTTTTTTTTTTTTGGTGATTGAATTAGTCTAGTGTTTTTGGTGAAGCATTCATATTTAAAGGTTTTTTCTTTTCTTTTCTGGGTGATTGGATTAGTCTAGTGTATTTGCTGAAGCATTTTTATTTAATGTTTTTTTTTTTTGGGTAATTTACACTGACCTACTCTATGGTTTGCCATAATTACAGGCGGCACCTTTCCTTTTTCGAAAATTACGCGGACCTCTACTACTTTTAAAAATATCCTACACGGACCTCCCTTATGTGTGACAGATCGTTAAATATACTAACGGACCTGTCAAAATTACTAAAATACCCTCAACTTTCAATGATAAATGACTTAAACACCCCAATGTATGCGTGTGTGTGCACACACATATATATTAATGAATTTCCAATTTCAGAGGCAACAAAGAACACAGTTAGTCCGATGAACCACAATCCAAGCATGGTTAGTTGATTTCAGTCCAGAAAAGTACTGTAGCAACAAAGAATTTCAGTTCGGCTCTCTGTTTGGTCTGAACGGGAACTGAAAGAGGTTGGACAAAGCTCGTCGTTTGTTCACCGGAGTCGCATGCATGTCTTGCAACTCACTGGATGGTCACTAAAATGGGTCTCATTGTTATGGGTTTTGTTGAAATTGCAGCTTGCCGGATTTCTGTCACATCTCTCTCGCACATAAAACGAAACTCCAAATCTTCTCTTTTGTTGCGCATACCTGTATTTCCGGGTCAGTTCGTTCACTACATGGACTTGGTTCAACCCGCGTTTTTCCTGCCGCCGGAGACCCCAAGAGAGCCGATGGAGTTTCTTTCTCGCTCTTGGAGTGTCTCTGCTCTCCAAGTGTCCAAAACTTTGGCTCCGCATCAGGTGCTAGTGAAGACCTTAAGTGGCGGAGTTAACGGTGCTGGTTGTGGTGGAGGTCCGACTATACCGGAGGATTTGGCCAGAGAGTTGGAGGAGGCGGCGACCGTCTCCGGCAACCCTTTCTCGTTTGCTTCTTCCGAGACTTTGCAGCTTGTCATGGAACGTATAATGTCGCAGTCTGTAAGTATATATCTGAGCATATGCCGACAAATTACACAATTCTCTCTCTCTCTCTCTTTAGAATAATTCATCTATTTTGGCATTTGGCTTTAATTTTGGGTATTTCATGCTATTTTTGCTTCTGGGTTCTTTGAATTATATCATTTTCTTTGATCGGTCTCAATCTGTGTGGAAAATTTATTTTAGAACCATAACTATCATCACTCCCTAATATGTTTTTTTAATTTGTTTTAGTTTTTTGGCGAGTTATTTTTGTGTTTTAGATTAACTGGAAAACTAGTGTTTCTTGAAATTACCAAATCGATTTGAAACATCTATGCAATACAGGTAGCTTTATATTTTCTTGGGAAGCACAAGTAGCATTAAAATACAGAAACAGGGCACTCTTGCTCTGGGTTTATGTTATGTTTGCTTGGTTTCCAATTTTATTTAGCCGCCGCGCACGGTGGGCGCGAGGAAGAGTACTAGTCTTTAGTTATTTTTCCGGCAACAGAAATTACATAGTCGCCGCCATCGTTGTCGCCGAGTGTCACTGCTAGATTAATCCCCGGATGAAGACGATCTGTTGAACCAAACCCAACCCTCTCACCACTTCGACTTCGCGCTCGGCCATGTAGAATCAACCGTCACCGCCGCCCTCGGTCGCGATCTTGATCTCTCAATCCTCAAATCAATACCCAAATTAGGTCATCTATGATGAACGCGTTTCTCGTGCAGGATGTTCATTTCCAGGGCTTGATATATATATATATATCTTTTAAATATAATATTTATTTAATTATATAGACAAGGGTATTTTAGGAATTTTAATAAAAATAGTAGTCAATTTCCGTCGTTGACTGGGGTTGACCGTAACAGAAGGGATGATATTTTAAAAAATAGGAAGGTCCGCGTAATTTATGGAACAGGAAGGATGCCGCTTGTAATTATAGTAAATCATATGAGAAGTCGGAGTAAATTATCTTTTTTTTTGTGTTTTTTTTTGGCAATTTATGCCCATTATTTTGGTTCATCAGAGTAAACACTACAAGGACTCAATCAGTGGGCTGCCTGATGAAATTCTTGTTTCTGTTTTGTCTCATCTGGGAATTAGAGAAACTCGTGTACTCTCAAAAACATGGAAACGTTTGTGGTCATTTAACAGGGTTCTAAACTTTGATGCCTTACAAACAATTTTTGAACTTGAAATGAATGAGGAGCTTTTGGAGATATCCTTCTGCCCCAATTTGATGGATCTTGAGGTCTGTGCTACTAGTCTAGTGTCATTTAAATATTTTGGGCTGCGCCAAAGAATAAATATGCAAATTAAGGATGCATTCCGACCCTTTTGAGGTACTTCGAAGAAGCAGTTGAAGCAAATATAGAGGAGGGTGAAGGTGATCTGAACTGAGATTGAAGTTGCAGAAGTGATAATGAATGATATAATTTCGGATTTGGTAACAGTAATGAAGGATATTGCAATCTCAAATGAAGATGAACCGAGTTTTGCTGCTGATTTGATCCACGAGAGTGGAGAAGAGGGATGCAGAATTGTATTTACGCCCCTAGTCATTGCAGAGTTGAGGAACTCACTTAAGGAGTCTGCTGACACTAGGTATGGAGTGCCGCGTATATATGGTAGGTATATATTGCTCAATCTTCTTTCTTGATTTAATGTTGCGAGGTTAGCTATTAGAAGGTCTCTATGGTAATGTTTATTTTTCTTCTCTCCAGTAACTTGAATGTGAATCGAATTGCCTCTGGAATCATATTTAATTTCTGAGGTTAACATGCATGCATCTGATTTGTAGAGGGCTTGAGGGTCCGAGTGTTTGAGTGAGGTGGGCATGGTTACATTAATGGTAGAAACAAGCTTTAATGATTTCCAACGGACTGTTGTGTGTTATGGATTGATCTCCCTTGTAAACCTAACTTCCTTAACTTGCAATTTTAACCAGACATGGTTTCTGCGTACTACTAAAAGCCAATGCAGGTTTCTTCTGGCTATTTCTTTGTTTCTGTCCCCATTGTAGGACCATTTTAAGGAAATATGAAAAGATGTACAAATTTTTTTTTTTTAAATTCAACTAACTAATATCATCCGAGATGAGATGTAGCAAATTAGGTCCCATGAATTTTCATATGATTTTCAAGTTTGACAACGTGATTTTCTGGTTCAAATCCCTTCCCTCCTCTTTGAGACAGAGATGTTATATCATTGAATTAGATGTCATTTGATAAAAATAAATAATATATATACACATCAGACTATTCTTTTGAATCGGAAGTACAACTTAAAGTCAGATATTTACAAAAACTTGCAAGCCACCATTAAGACTATATGAATTCAATTTAAACTTGATGAACCTAGATCCATGGAATCTCTTTTCATCAGCAAAATTGGCTATATATATATATATATTAATGTTAGATGGGTGCACAATATATTTTTCATGTTTTGTTTTTGTTCGTCAATCGTTCATCAAGTTCTGTAACAATGTCAAAAGTGTAACTATAGAGTTTCAAGTACAAATATTAAAGTTTGAGTTTTGCAATTTTTATTTCTTTTAAAAGCAGAATTGTTCATTTTAGTAAATAAATTAAAAAAGTAAACAGATTCTCACTCAAGCAATGTTTGGAAACGCTGAACGATTAATTAAAATTTTAAACCAAATTTCTTCAAATTTTAATTATAAAAACATTATCTTTCTGGCAAACTCCTAATCAAATCTCGTACTATTCTTGTATAATCTCGTACTATTCTTTATTAAAACTTAAACTCATCCACCCTTTTCAAAACTGAAGGTAGCACTTTAACTATGACAATTATGTTAATTCTCACAATTTTTTTAAATATATCTGGTGGTAGATAACACCAAGAACAACATATTAAAACACTCAAAAATATAATAATAAATAAAAATTTAAATATTTTATTTTTTATTGACAAGAAACTACAAACCCGAGAAAGACTCGAATCCTCACCAAAACATAAGTTTGATTACCTGGGCCAAAACTATGTTTGCTCTTCTTCGAATCTAGACAAAACCCAAAACCAGGCCCATGACTTGTGGCTTCCTAGTAACTAGCAAGTCCACATTTTCAATTTCTCATCCATTTCTTCTGTTCAGTGTATTCATAATCTGCACAAGAAAAAAACACAAAACCGTGGCAAATTGAAACTATGGTAAAATCATTTTTGAGATTTTGCACAAGCTTCACACATTTTCTATTGTTCAAATTGGATTTTTCATTAAAAATTCTACCGACGTAAGTTGATGTGTGGAAGAATTTACCGAAATGGGCTAAGTGCGTGTGAGGAACATACCATTAAAAAGGGAGGGATATGTGTCCCCACCAAACCTGCTAATCACAACGCGGCCTAGAAATTGTTGTCCCAAAACAACTTATTTTATCCTTCTCTCCCCTTAAAACAAACACAAGCTAATACCATGATCAAGCCAGTATGTAAAATACATAAAACATAGTCGAGCCAATCTTGCGCCCAATTTAGTGGGTATTTGCCATATGGACGATCAAGTCGACCACACGTGTGCTGCAATACACACAAAAAAAAAAAGAGGGGGAAAATCAATAAGCATAATTAATCAACTATCAACCCATAACCATATCATATCCTATCAAACACATAGCACATAATATAAAAACATCCAGCTATGAATCGAACGTGAAATAGAAGTAGATTGTTACCTGTAACCCCACTCGTTGTCATACCAAGAAACGAGCTTCACAAAGTGATCATTCAAAGCAATTCCAGCCTTTGCATCAAAGATGCTTGACCTGGAAATTTGAACAGAAAAACCAAATTATACTGCTTGTCAAAGGTCATTTCGGTTAGATTAATCCATTATGTCGAATAATCTAAACAGCAATTGTCAATAAGGACACAACATAGGATACCACACACACAATACATTCATGTCTAATGTTTGAAAAGGACCCAGACTTGTAAAAAGCAATTGAAAAGGAAAAAAGATAGGAATGCCCTTGTATGCACTATGGCCTTGTTAATTGTTTTAAGAGGACCATGAATTCCAAAAACTATTCAAGGGGGAAAAAAGAGGGAGATTGAAACCCATCCATGACTTTATATCAATCTATACCTGCTGTCGCCTATAAAGTCAGTGGAAACCACGTCATCTTCTGTGTAACCTAAGATTCCCTTCAGCTTTCCCTCAGACTCCTCCCTGATAACCATTCATTAAGGATAAAAAGTTGGTAAACAAAAATAGACCACACATTGTAAGAGGACATGTAAACATCTACCTACTAAGAAAAATACCAAAAAGTATCACAAGCAATCAAGTTTGACAAAAGCAAACTACAACGAATATACAATTCCAAAAAATAAAAATAAATGCAATATACTTGATAGCAGCTTTGATTTGTTCATAGGAAGCAGCCTTTTCCAGCCTCACAGTGAGGTCAACAACAGAGACATCAACGGTAGGGACACGGAAGGCCATCCCAGTCAATTTCCCATTCAGCGCAGGCAACACTTTACCAACAGCCTTGCAGGATCACAAATATGTTCAGAAGAAGGAAGAGATAAGAGTTGGAAGAAAGAAGTACAGCAAATACAATAGAGAAATTACATTCAAATGCCAATTTTATAAGTTAAGAAAATCATCACATCCGATAGCTCTTTAATGCAAAACAAAGATATAAGTAATATAAGCAACTTCATAATCCTTCAATACCTTGGCAGCTCCAGTGCTGCTAGGAATGATGTTGAATGAAGCTGCTCGTCCACCTCTCCAGTCCTTGCTTGATGGTCCATCAACGGTTTTTTGTGTGGCTGAAACACAATATCAGCATATAACTAACACAGTGCAGCCTTAGTGTGAAAGAATAAACAAACCACAAAAAGACCCACCGGTGATGGAGTGAACGGTAGTCATAAGGCCCTCTACAATGCCAAATCTGTCATTGATAACCTGGATAATTGAGTCAGGATAATGTAAGATAACATTAAACCCTACACAATTTGCTAAATTTGAAACTGGGAACCACAGTTAGCTTTCACTGCTTATATGTTTTGCTACAGAGTTATTGCATTTGAATCAAAAGACCGGAATAAATAATATATGAACCTTAGCAAGGGGAGCAAGACAATTGGTAGTGCAACTAGCGTTGGAAACAACATGAAGATCTGGCTTGTACTCCTTTTCATTTACACCCACAACAAACATTGGGGCATCCTTGCTAGGGGCTGAGATAATGACCTTTTTAGCACCACCCTGACAAATCAATAAAACCAACACAATTCAGATAATTGAACCGCTGGCAGAATTCAACCTCAATCTTCAAGAATTCAAAAGAACCAATAGCATCGAACAAATTGATCAGTTCTAAAATTAAAATTAAAATTAAAATTAAAATAAGCCAGACTACAGAAAATCCCACCAGATTCAATATGAAAAAAATTAAGAACATGGTTTCCAAGTACTTAAGATCACGGAACTTAAATGCATGGGAATGGTAAAACAAGATTGTTCACAATGAGGGTAATGCTACGGCAAGAAGAGGATGACCAAAATTATGATAGGTAACTTGTTGTTTGATTGAGACTATGACCTCAAACAGGGGAGGGGGAGAGGGGGATAGAGAGAATAAGTAGTTAAGAAACGTTTTGTTGAGTTAAGAGTACTAATTATTACTTTAAAAACAGTAATAAATGCGAGGAATGCAAAAAATAAATGAATGATATAGATCTTCTATATCAAAATAAAGTATATGCGGTAAAGAATAGTAGCAAACTGTCAAGTGAGCTGCAGCCTTGTCCTTATCGGTGAACACTCCTGTAGACTCAACAATATATTCAGCTCCTGTTTCGCCCCAGGGGATCTCTTGTGGGTTCCTAATAAATTCAAATCAACAAAAAAAACTTTTAGTCAGCATCCATTTTATGCACAATTGGCAAACTTCTTACAACATAAACCCTCTCAAACAAACACACACAAGACAAGTGTCCGCATATATCCGTTTGTACATATATTCTACACACACAGACACATGCTTTTTTTTTTTTTCTTTTTTTTCTTTTTTTTCTTTTTTTTTTACAGAATAAAAATCAAACAAAGTAAACACAAGATCACAACAAAACGGGCTAGCTCAAACCAGAAGGATGCAGGGTCTTTAACAATGACTTTTAAATCCCAATTGGGCCATACATCTAACATGCCTATTTTGTCACTGCATTCGTCTATATGTGTGCTGAAGTGTGTACCTAACACCAAACACAGCAACTGGCTTCTCACCAAAGAGAAGGGTTTTGGAGTCTTTCACCTTGAGTTCGTGATGCTTCCATTGACCATGAACACTATCATACTTAAACATATATGTCTGCAAGAACCATCAACCAACACAGATTAGCCCTGTTAGCATAGTCAAAAAGCTACTTCGAACATATATATGTCTTCAAGATCATTCCACCCAGATAAACCCCATTACCAATAATCAAAACCCTACACAGATCCACTCCATATAATACTTTTTAAAGATCAAATAAAAAATCAGAACACTAATTGAATTATCTGATCAACCAAACTAATTATGCGATTGAAGTAGCTCAGAGAAAGAACAGCATCAATAGCCTAATTATGCGATCAAAAGAGCAATTAAGTACCATGTAATCAGTGGTGATAAATGGATCATTAACGGCGACAAGCTCAACATCATCTCTCTGCAAAGCAACTCTCGCCACCAATCGGCCAATCCTTCCAAAACCTACACGTAGAGTTCAGAAATTTTATCACTAACCCAAAATTAATAAAACCATTATATTCATAATTTCACAATTATATATACAATTTGCAAGAGAGTAGATCTGTTACCGTTTATCCCGATCTTGATCTTGCCTGTACACATAAAAAAAAAAAAAAAAGAAGAAGAAGAAAATTAAATCACAAAACTAAGAAATTATCACAACCATAACATAATTAAGCAATATAGAAGAAGTAAATCTTACCCATGACTATCAGAAAGAGAAAGCGAACAGGTACAGAAGAGAGAGAGAAAGTGAACAAAGCGAGGGTTTGAGAGAGAGAGTAGGTAATAGTGAACTGAAAGTAAGAAGTTGGGTTTTAATATAAGATCGGGACGACTAGTTGTTTAGGGATTGAGTAAGGAATGTGCGAATGTTTTCCTGCGAGTGTATGGTAGTTTATGGTGTTGCATGGATATGTATTGTCTGAATTAATGACTCGGAATAAAAAGTGACAAAAGATGAAGTTATTGTAACCGTTTGATTGGCGGGGAATGATGTAATTAATATTCTGGAAGGAAGAGTGATAAACTTTAGCCTGGCGGTTAGGTTGCAACGTCAATTTTGAAATGGACAAATGACCTCGGTCTGCTTAACTTTGAGCCCATACCCAAAAAGTTGGGCTACAACAATCTCCGTTCCAACTTCCAAGCCTATAAAAAAAATGTGAGTACTAATTTCTTTTTTTCACTTTAACTTAGAATAATTATAATAATAATTTAATGTTCCACAAGTTGTTTAATTGCAACTTAAATTGGGTTCGAATTAAAAAGAAACAAAATAGAAAGCGAAAAGAAACATGATTTATCTCTTGAAAAAACTAAAAGAAAAAGGGAAAGTAAAAAAGAAAAAAAAGGAGGAGATAAGAAAAGAATGGAAAAGAAAGAAATGAATAAAAAGAAGGGAAAAAAAAAAAAAAAAACAGATGATAAGGACAAAAGGAATGTCCACATTTATGTAAAAATAAGGGCAACTGATAATCACTTATTATCATTTAATGTCATTTTGGGAAGGTGTTGAAAAATACTTAAAGAGGTTAAACTATTATTTATTTTCCCCTCGCAACAATCCAAAAGTTAACTCACCAATAATTGAATTCAAAATGTTCGAGATTATGGTTCTCATCAAAAAAATCCCTTATCAATGTACCCTGGCGAAGTCAATTAAGGCCCAGATTTTAGCCCAGCAAAAATTAAAAAATGTTAATAGTATTAGCCTACTCTAATTTAACCTATTCAATTAAGCCAAAGTCAACTCAGCCATCATACTAAAATAAAGGTGCAAGTGAAATATGCCCAGACTGGCCCTGACCCAAGGCGACAGAGGCAGTCGCCTAGGGCCTCAAAATTTATAGGCCCATGGATGATGGGCCACCAGAAAAAAAAAAAAAAAAAACATTTTTAGGTCAAATCATTTCAGCCTCCCCAATCTCCTCCATCTCTATTCTCGTTCTCAACTCTGAACTAGCCACCGGCCCCCCCTCTCTGTCTCTCTCTGCAACTGCAAGAATCAAAAGTTCAAAACCCATATCGGCATATCATTTCAGATTGTTCAAAAAATCAAAATCCACATCTTTCAGTTTCCATCGCCCGCTGTTCCAGTTCGGGTTCGCCGTTCGCAAGCTTCAGCCGCTGTCTCTCAACTCTCAAGCTTGCCCCCCTCTCTATCTGCAACCGCTAACTTGTATGTATGGGTTTTGTTTTACTATTTTTTCCGAATCAACCAATCAAGGTCTGTAATTATTGTTTTGCAAACTAAATCCTATTTGGTGAAATTTTTTATGATCTTTTTTATGTAATTTTTTGTTTTTTTACAATATAGAGTAACAAAATTTGCATTGCATTTTGAGGTAAATAATTTACTCTTTTTTTTTTTAGCAAAACAAATATATATATATATATATATATATATATATATATATATGACTTCTATTTCTGTGGGAAATTTGAATCTGGACATGAAAAGAGAAAACAAAAAAAAAATTCTGAATTGGATTAGAAATATTCAGAGATTTAATCTAAAACAATTTTTATCAACATGCCAAGCTTTTTGAAGATGGAAATCTTTTCATAACTAAAAAAAAATCATAACAAGAACTTTGACAAGCAAAAGTTCTTAATATAGGGTAAAGCTCTAAAGTTACTTCTTGAAAATTAAAATTCTTACAAAAAGAATGCTTTTGAGTGAATTCCATAGTGTTGGAAGGGGCTTGCCGTGAACTACCTCACACTCTGCTTCCACTAGTAGATTCTCAAATAGGATTAGTAAATTGGTCAAAAGAAGAGAGAGGTACTGAGTGGTGAATTGTTCAAAAATAAATTGGTATTTTTTTTCTTATTAATTACCCAAATAGGATTTTCTATGCCTTAATCAGTCAATTGTCTAAAGAAACATTGTTAATTAACTAAAATTGAATTAAACAACAGTTGATTTTGGTTGATATATTTTGATTTAGCCAACCCCATCGAGAAATCCTGCACTTGCCCCCTGGCCTTGCTCCAACTTACTATACATATATTCATAATTTTGTTATCTACTTATATTTATATGGTAATTTTGAATAACCCCCCAAAAATTTTCAAATTCCTTCAATTTCCTTTAAAAAAATAAAATAAAAGTATACACGGATCCCCCTTCTTCAATTACTCCATATTTTATTTTTCCTTCTCTAATTCTTATTCTTTTTATTTTCCTTCTACTTATTTAAATCAATTCATAAATCGCTCCAAAGAAGATAGTTGTGATTGTATTTAATGAATATTTTGGTTCTTATATTTGTCAATTATTTAATTTTTTACCCTATTTATTTAGTATATTATTTTACAATTTTTTTTTTTTTTTTTTTTTTCTTGTTTGCCTTTTAATTTAGAAAAGTTACACTCTGTATTTGTTATACTGTTGATTTTTTTTTCTTTTCAATCAAGTGCCCTGTACCCCCTTAAAATAAAATCCCGACTCCGCCCCTGACTGTACCACAGTACCATCCATGCAGGCTTACAAGTCACTCTTCCTTCTCACTTAAATAGCCCAAGTGCATGGCCACATTTATGTCTTTTACTGTTTGGCCTCGATCAGCTGCATGTGCCAAACAGATCTCATATGAATTTAAAGCATAATAGGTGTTTTCTAAACTTATCTATTCATATGCGTACATATCTATATCTATATATATATATATATATATGTAGACACACACAACTTTGGCACGACTATGAGGTGGCATAATGGCAGACTTGGCAGTTCTTAACTTCTTATATAATGGCAATGCAACAAATATCAGGTACCACTGCTATAAATGATTGAAAAATTTAAGTTTTAACATTTTTCAAAACATTCATTCAGTGAGTGATGGTTGGTGTGAGCGCTAGTTTAGAATAGTTTGTCCGAAGGTATTAAGCAAACCATGCTTTGCATTAAAAGAATTTTAAATATTCATAGAAACATATGGGATTTATAAAGATTATTAAAAGAATGTGTGTGTTTTTATGATGAATTTGATGTTTGCAATAATAATAATAAATAATAACAATTATAGTGAATAGAAGTCGTAGTCCGAATTTGGATTACTGTGATGTTTACAAGTGCTATAAATTTAAGATTTAACTTAATTTGTTTGAGACTATGCTAAATAAATAAATAAAATAGTACGTTATGTATTAGTGGCACTCTCTCAATATTCACAATTGTTTATATATTTATGTGGCATGTTTTTATCTGTTGTTCTTCATGTTTCAAGGTCAAAAAATTGTTCGCAGTGTTGGTACCTTGGGCCTTGGCCACTAGAAAAGCACATGTTGAAGTTGCAGAAAGGTTTTTTTTTTTTTTTGGTATTTCTTATTATGATTTTGGGTTAATTACAACGACACCTCTGAGGTTTGCCATAATGACACTTATATACAAGTTAGACCTTTTTTTGACAATGACACCCCCTGACAAAATTTGGAACCAAACAGACCCTTAAAAGGTTTGAAAAGACAAAATTGCCCATCAATATTTAACTAATTTTAATTGTAAACTATTAGAATTTTAGAATGACACTTTTGCCCTTTTACCAATCTCTTCTAGCCCATCGATCCCCACCCTTTCTCTCTTTTCACCTGCCGCCATCATCTCCTCAATCACAGCCCCTTAACCACAGCCATCGCCACTTATCCCCAACCACATCCTGCCGCTACCATCTCCTCAACCACAACGCCGCCATCATCTTTCTCCTTATACTGCCACCACTTCTCCTCAATCACAACCGCCAGCACCACTTCTCCTCAACCACTGCCGCCGCCACCGTCTCTCTCCACCCATCTGTGATTGCACAGAACCACATCTCTTATCACCACCACCACGCTTAATCTATGCAAAAATGTGCAAAAACAAACAGAGGAGCAACCCACAGATCAATTCAGATCCATTTGCATCATGAGACTGTGGTCGAAGGTTACAGCGGAGGTGGTGGTGGTATCACCGGAATTAACTAAATCACATCCATTTGATTCCTTTGCGCGATCTAAAATCTCACTTGAATCTACTCCGGGAAGCAAAAGGCTTAGAGAAGTCAGAGGATTGTTGGCCGGCGACGTTTCGACCAGTGGCGGCAGAACACACTTTGTTCAGGCCACAGATCAGTATATGTGAGTTGATATATATATATGTATATATAGATGGTCTGTAACTTCTATATATATATATATATATATATATATATATATATATATATATATTATATTGGCAGAGACACAGATTGCGCAAAGTGAGTCTATATATATATATATATATATATATATATATATAGCAGGTTATGAATATATTGATCATATTTGTATATAGAGAGATGTGAGAGAGGTTATTTTGGATATTTCAAATTTATTAGAATGGGTGATTTAGTAATTTCGCTATTCAAAAGTGTCATTTCACTAGTCAAAGGGTACTTAGGCCATTTTACCACGTCTGCCCCCTCAATGGGTGTCTTTGTCAAAGGTAGCAAAGCTGAGGGGGTGTCATTGTTTTTGGAATAATTGATTACTGTATCTGAGTGTTGATTTGTTTATTCTTGTCATTGTCAATTTTGTCCTATGGAATAGTATGAATTTCAACTAAATCTAAGAGCAATCGGATTATTGAGAATTTTTCACTCAATTTCTAGTATCTATTTAGAAATTTTGTAATCAGTGATTAACTAAATGCTATTTATTATTAAATTTCAATAAGTTATAGGTATCCAGTAAATTATATTATTGAATTTTAATGTAATTCTAATCAAATCCGATCAGGAATGGCTCGAACCTCACTACCGACATAGCGGAAGAAACAACTGCAGAGCAGGAAGAGGAAAAGGATGGTTTCAAAATCTCTCAAGATGCTTAGAGACATTATTGAGGCTAAGGCTAATCTTCGAACTATATTGCTTGAAAAAAATTCTCAGAATTGAGAGATTTGATAAGAAGCTTGATAAGAAGTGCAAGGGGATGAATGGTGAAATTCAAAGCACTAAGAAGAAAATCAAGGTATACAGGAGGGAATTGTTTGCCATGAAGGTTATTTGTGTGTCTTCTCTGCCAGAGATGAGCTATGCCAAAGAGTTGCTCTGCAGTGTCTCTTCGTGTGGCAAAATTATGCTTTCCCCAATGCTGGATATCAAGACAAGAAAGTCACTATAGGATTCGGCTCTATTCAAAATCACGCCTTCCGAGGGTGAGCTTTAGAATTGCTTTGCATTCATGCCTTTATATTAGTTATATCTGTATGTTTGTCTAAGAACCTATCCAATGTTAGATTATCCTATTCGTGTTTTAAATAATAGTTTTTAATTAGTGTCAGCTTATGGTGTTGCTTTGATTTTAGCTATGAACTATAGTGATTCTAAATGATTGATGCTCTTAGTAGGTTTGTTTGAATCCATAGGTCCAGGATATTAGTGTAGCCCTTCTAAACTTAGAATACTCCAGATCTGCAATACTTAGAATCTCTGTAAACTTAAATCGTGGTTTTCATCCATGAAAGTATTTACTAGCACACTGGTGTTGTGGTAAAATGTTGGGTGTACTCACCGTCTGAAATTTGGTAGTTTTGTTAATATGTAGGTTCATTGTTATTCCATGTTTCAGTACCTCATGTAATGGATGTTTATATAATTATTTCACGGTGGCTGCAAAAGAGACCGAATTTAACTGTTGGACTGTGTTTGAGCATCCATGAACTAGTTAGATTGCAAATTCAATGCACACTCCTGCCACTGCGGGTTCCAACTTTACATCGGAATGTGGAGAGACAGTTTCTTTGTTTTGAACCCGTGACCTCCATGGTCATAATGGAGTAACCTTATCATTACGTCAAGGTTCGCCCTTTGGTAGTGTAAAATTCATCTCATTAGGAGTAACACACACTCACTGTCTTATAATTAGGAGAATGGAATAGTGCTTTGCAATCATGACACTGCTTTAATTAACTAGTTATTTTCTGGAACTGCAAGTAGCTCAACAAGTTGGGAGGAGTCACTCCAAATGCTCAAGCAGACGATAGTCTCTATGGATAGTATGACTGCCTTGTGTATTGAAAAAGGTCTCTTAAAGAAAGAGTTAAATGAAAAAGAGAGCGAGTTGGAGAAAATGAGAAGTGATATCAAAGCTGAAATGAAATTGAGATCTCCAATGAAAAGGAGCTGAAGTTTGCTGCCAAATTGATCCGCAAGAAGGGATTACCAGGATTCAAAGTTGTATTATCCCTACTGTCAATGAAGACTTGAGGGTTGTACTTAGTCTGCTTGCTCCAACCTGTGGAGTGCAACATGTATATGGTATGTAGTATACTGTATAAGAGTGATTTATTTGGATTCCAAAGGTTTCATATTAAAGATTGCTTTCATTTCTTGGAGTTTTTGCTCAAAACAATTTGTTCATTCTTATTTTTTTGTAGATCACTGATTGGAATTTGGAGGAGGCAGTCTATGTCCCTAAAGGCTAGAACAAGAGGGTATGAATCAATATATGGCTCTTCAATTTTATTTTATTTTATTATTATTATTATTTTTATATTCATCAAATGACTATTCTTCCTTTTTAGTGCACTTGTGGCCATGCTATCAAAGGCTAATCTTGTGGAGTATATGGATTTTGTTACTGTTATTATTTCACATCTACAGTGGAAGAAATGGTAATACTTATGCATGATACATATATATGCTACGCTTCACAGATTGGAGCAAGCAGACTAAGTACGACCCTTAAGTCTTCATTGACTAGTGGGGACAACTTTGCATCCTGGTACTCCCTTCTTGCGGATCAATTTGGCAGCAAACTTCAGCTCCTTTTCGTTGGAGATCTCAATTTCATCTACATATAGTAATTCTGTAATCATGCCATCTCTTTCCACTTTTTCAGCTGTGATATCACTTCTTGTTTTCTCCAACTCGCTCTCTTTTTCATTTAACTCTTTCTTCAAGCGACCTTTTTCAATATGCAAGGCAGCCATCCTATCCACATAGACTATCGCCTGCTTGAGCATTTGGAGTGACTCCTCCGAACTTGTTGAGCTACTTGCAGTTTCCTCAAAAGGCATGATTTCGAATCGAGCCGAATCCTCCAGTGACTTTCAGTGAGCATTGGGGAAAGTATAATTTTGCCAGACAAAGAGACACTGCAGAGCAACTCTCTGGCATAGCTCATCTCTGGCAGAGAAGACACAAATAATCTTCATAGCAGACAATTCCCTCCTATATACCTTGATTTTCTTCTTAGTGCTTTTAATTTCACCGTTCATCCGCTTGCACTTCTTATCAAGCTTCTTCAGTTGTGTTTTCTGAGAATTTTTTTCAAGTAATAGAGTTCGAAGATTAGCCTTAGCCTCAATAATGTCTCTAAGCATCTTGAGAGATTTTGAAACCATCCTTTTTCCGCTTCTGTGACCGTTTCTTCCTGCTCTGCAGTTGTTTCTTCCACCATGTCGGTGGTGAGGTTTGAGCCATTTCGGGATCTCCCGAGGGACTGGATCTGGAGAATTCGAAACCCTAGAAACCTTTCTTGGACCAATCTTCTCTTCATGTCGAGGGAACATGTAATAATTTCTCCCATCCACTTACTCAAAATTAAATCTTGTGAACATACTTTCCCAACACAAAAGTTTGGATCTTTGTTCGTTCTGTGAAGAAAACTAGTACTCCTATTTTGAATCTTCAATCTGAGGTGAGTCTCTTTTTCTGATTTTTGTTTTTTTTTTTCATAAATTTCTATTATCATAATTATGCTCCTTCTTTAATCTGTAATTGTTTTTTGGGTACTCTATGCAGAGCTTATTTATATATAAATTATGAGGAGAATAGTTTCAACGAGGAAAAGGATGAGATTCATCTCTAAATGCACAAAAAAACACAAGGTACATACATACTTATGTCTTTGTATTTTTATTTTTGTTGCCTCTGGTATTTGTTGGTTAAAGTAGCTATTATGTTAACTTTGATCAGTCTTAAAGGTGGTTTTTTTTTTTTTTTTTTTTTTTTTTTCTTGGGTGATTCAATTAGTCTAGTGTTTTTGCTGAAGCATTCATATTTAAAGGTTTTTTCTTTTCTTTCTGGGTGATTGGATTAGTCTAGTGTATATGCTGAAGCATTCTTATTTAAAGCCGTATTTTATTTTTTTCCTGGGTGATTCGATTAGTCTATTGTTTTTGCTGAAGTATTCTTGTTTAAAGCTGTTTTTTATTTTATTTTAATTTTTTTTCTGGGTGATTCAATTAGTCTAGTGTTTTTGCTGAAGTATTCTTATTTAAAGGGTTTTTTTTTTTTTTTTTTTATCTTTTCTTTTCTTTTCTGGGTGATTGGATTAGTATAGTGTTTCAGCTGAAGCAGCATTCTTATTTAATGTAGTTGTTTTTTTTTTTTTGGTGGTAATTTATGCCCATTCTTTTGGTTCATCAGAGTAAAAACTACAAGGAGGATTGGATCAGTGGGCTGCCTGATGAAATTCTTGTTTCTGTTGTGTCTCTTCTGGGAATTAGAGAAGCGGCACGCTGTGTACTCTCAAAAAGATGGAAACATTTGTGGTCATTTAACAGGGTTCTAAACTTTGATGCTTTACAAACAATTTTTGTTCTTGAATTAAATCCAGAGGAGCTGCTGGAAGTAGAAAGATCTAAGTACATAAGGGGTGAACAAAGTTGTGGAGTCGCATCGTGGTTTAACCATAGACGAGTTTAGAGTTTCTTTTTGTTTGAATATCTCTTCTAATTGTGTCATTGATGGATGGATTGAGTTTGCAATAGCAAAAGTGTGTTCAAAGGCTTGAGTTGGACTTCCAACCATGTATCCTGTTCGAAGAGGCTGCTGGTATACCATATACTTTTCCAAACCGGACTTATATTCACATCAAAAGTCCCGTAGGTTTATCGAGCATTAGGTCCCTAAGATCCCTCTGTTTTAAGCGTGTGAACATTTGTGGAGAAATTCTTGAATACTTCCTTTCCAATTATCCTATTCTCGAATCTTTACTAGTAGAAAGCTCGGAACATTTAGTGAATTTAATAGTTATTGGTTATTCACTTCGGCTGAAGTTTTTGGAGATATCCTTCTGCCCCAGTTTGATGGATCTTGAGGTCTGTGCTACTAGACTCTTCTCTTTTCCTGTTTTCAAGCTACTTTTCGCAGATTGAGAATCTTTCGTTGGGCATGGATTGTCTCTTTGGAACAAGGTTAGTTTATATTTCTTTGAGCAACTACTTTTTGTACAAAATTATACCAATGGTTAGGAGACTGGATAGAGTCCATCCTCCCAACATCCCTCGTAACCCCAACACTAGGTAGTGATCTTTTTTATTGTTATTATTATTATTATTATTATTATTATTTTAATAAGTTTTACTTTTCAGGGTAATAGAGGATTCAAACAACTTCTTGAATTTACCAAGCTCAAGCACTTGACATTGCAAGTTATAGCAGATGAATCTAAAAGCGTTCTCAGCTGGACTACCTTGATAAATGCATCACCTTTGCTGCGTAAATTTAAATCGAAGGTAGTTTTATAGATTTGTATAATGACACAGAATAATTATCTCTCGTGTCTTCCTCTCACAGCAACAACCATGGATAGAAGTTACTTGCATTGGATAATGGTCTTCTTTATATAAAGATGTCTAATTTTTAAACAGATAAAATTGTAATTTATATAGGGAGATATATGAGTTAGTTTGTGATTTGGTGAATGTATGCACTTCTGGAATAAATTGGGTTTCTAGGAGAGAATAAATAGAAGAGGTTATAGGGAGAATAAATAGAAGAGGTAATGTGTTTTTGTTTGTGTGTGTGTCTCTCTCTAGGTGTATATACACAACAGAACTCAGCAGATCATCTAAGTGAGAGCTAGTTAGGAAGAATTTACATTGAGGGTAATGTAGGGGAAGACCAAACATAACATGTATAGAGTTAGTAACGAAGATATGATAAAATGTAGTTGACTGAGGTTATGACCGTGAATAGAGCGTAATTGAAAATTTGGGATTCATGTAGCCGACTCCAAGTAATTGGGAAAAAGACGTTGTTGAGTTAATTTGAGTATAGTACATCCATTATATATCAGTATATATAAATTTGATTGTTTGTCTACTTTATGTACTAATAATTGCATACGTGGAGGATGAATCTTTTTAAATATATCGTAAAAAATTTACATATATGCAATATTTTTGATAATTACCTCTTATATTTTTTAGTTACAATTATATTCTTGTCCAATACTAGAAAGTGTCAATTCCATGTTTTGAGATATGTTGATCCCGTTTCAAAATTTCTTGGGGCTGGCTTTTTTTAAGATGTGTTGGTGTCAACACGAGACTTTTTTTAGTCTAAAATAATGAAATTTAATTTTGAATTACAGACACATAAAAGAAAAAAGAAAGAGATACTTTCTTTTAGTGTCCCCTACCACAATACGAGTTCTCAATGAGTTGGCCCGGCTGTCCATGTAGGTAATGAGATTACTTAAAGTGTTTGATAATTTTTTTAAAGCAATTTAGCCTTGCTCAGATTTAGGAACAACGTCCTTGTATCATCTCTGGTTGTGATTACAACTTGATGAAGCAAATATGTAGGTTACTATAGTTGTTTTTTAAATACGGATTGGGTTTAGGTGTTTGATTTTCTTATTCTTTATATTAAAAATATCACATTACATTGATACATAGAAGTAAAGGGAACTTTTTATTTTTTATACATTTGTTTCTAACATGCTGATAAATTATGAAGATAGTTCTAGTACGATGATTCTCCTGCCAGCAGAAAGGAAAAAAGAAGGCATTTTTTTTTTTTTTTGGATGTCATAGCAGTTCCATTTATACTTCATTGATCTGCCCAAGTTTTAGTCGTTGAGTATCAAACTGCGTTGGGACTGATTTTGATTTGGCTGGTATATTTTCTCGAGTTTCAAATGCCTTATTGTTGTGCAGTACCCTTTCTTTAACGGATTTGAAAGTACTGTTACAAGTCTGTGTTCTAAACTTAATATGTATATCTCTGTTCTAAGCCGTTATTTTACGCCTTTTGGTAGTGTTTAAAAGTTTCACACATTCAAGTATGTTTTGCCGCTTTCCTGTTTCACAGTTATACTATTCGGGGCCTTGTGGGTCTCTAGGAAGAAAACTGCCTAAAAGTTCGCAACCATCCCCATCATTGCTTTAAGGAGGTGGAATTGGCTGGGTTTGTTGGCCGTCTTGTTGATCTTGAGCTTACCCAATATTTGATTAAGAATGCGGTCATGTTGGAGAAGATTATTATCGATCGTCACTGTACATATATATTGGGCAGACCAATACCACCTTGGATGCTTAAGGAAACAAAGGAGAAAGGATATGCAAATGAGCAGGTTATGCAACTCCAAAAAAGTCTACCTGTAAGAGTCGAAATGGATCTTATTTAATCTTTCTCAAGCTCAATGTTTAGTTTGCTTGTACTTTTAAGATAATTTAATTTCTTTATTTACAAGTTGTTCTTACTTGTTAGAGAGTCTCGTGACTGTAACTATTACGAATACATCTAGTTCTTATCCTCCTCCTATGTGACCCCTGATAATTTACAATGGTGGGCAAGGACAGGTACATGCCGTACATTCTTAAGAGTTTGCACTAGGATCCAAATTTAGCTCGGTGTAACTTTTGAATGAAACTAGAATTTGGAGGTTTTAAATATCAATAGAGTGTTGTTTATTGGAGCTTTTGAAACGATATTATTGTGAAACTAACAATAGGTGTGTTTTAAAAAATATTATTACCAAATAAATTTAAAAATAATTTGATTGTAAAAATTAATTTATGTCCTAACATACTTTTTATTGCCAACAATTTTTTGACATTGATAAAAGTACCTTTTTTTTTTCTTTTTTCTTTTTTTTTTTTTTTATTTCAATAGCATTTCCGAAGGGGTTTTTGTTTCTAAAATATATGTTTCCTTTTTAAAATTAAATTTCCTAATTATAGATATTTATGTAATTTTATTTCATTTCTTAACCGCATTTAATCTTCCGTTAGCCAACAAAAGATAAGTTGCAACCCCTTAAGCGGGGTAGTTACCATCTTCTTTATACTCACACTCACCTGGCTTCCACATTTCTCGTGCTGCATTCTTTATCTTAACATATAAATAGACTCTTTTGTATAGTTCATTACGATTTCTCTTATTCTCTCATCTTATTTCTAACAGAAAAAATACTTAAAAGGGGTTAAAGTATCATTTCTTTTCCCTCCTTTTTTTATTTATTATTTCATTCTTCCTCATCTTAAAAATTAAACATGATTTTAAGTTATACCCCAAGGTATTATCTCAATCATCTTAGAGGTGAAGATTTCAAATATTATTGATCTACTTTAGGAAATATTTTGAGTAATTGTTGGTTGCATGTGGAAAGGGACTAAGTATGCCGGTGGTGAATTATATAGCCGATGATGAATTATAAAATGAATAATGATACAGTAACGATAAGTTGGGCCGAATTATTAGGCTTACTTATATTTGATTGGTTATTAATGCATTAAATAAAAAAATAGAGTCTCACTTTTTATATTTGGCTTGAATTAAAAAATCATCAGACTTAAGAAACCCAGCAGTATGTTAAGAAACCTTTTGTGTAAAATATACACTGTCACATATGATTTGTAAATTTTTTTTAATCTTCAACAGTCTGTTAAAATATGCTTACACAGTCACGTAAGCATATTTTCTCTCTCCTCCCCCTTTCCTACTCGCGGTTCTCGTTCTTTTCTCTCATTCTTTTAAGCCTCTTTGTTTCCAACTTTTCTAGAGCGTAATAGAAAAGAATCTGCAACTGGCGGCAAGGTAAGAACTGCTCGACTATCTTTTATTTTATTTTTTATATTTTTTAATAAACATAGTTTGATTCATCACTTTGGTTTTATTTTTTTTTCGTAATTGAGGAGGATTGAGATGTGAGGTAAAACCTTTGATTATGTAATTTCTACGTACTTGAATCTTATTTTATTATTTATTATTAAGTTAGAATTCTGGTGGCAGTGGGAAATGTTTGCTATTGGCGGGATGGGAAAGTGAAATATAGGGGGAATTTATTATTATTTTTCTAATGGAAGAGGATTGGGACGTGAAGTTTAATCGCAAAAAGTAAAGTGAATCAAGCGTGTTTGTTATGTAGGCCTTGAATATGACACGTGGTTGGTTATTATTGGGATATATTTTTTAATAGAAAAGGTATAAAATAATTGTCTGAGCTAAAAATAGGTAGTACAAATTTTTTGTGTAAATCTATTATGACACATCAGATTTACACAAAAATATATATACATAAGGATTGTTGGAGATACTCTTAGGGCACGTTTATTAACGATTTCACTTTCTTATTTTTTCTCCAAAAGTAAAATTATACTTTTCATTCCTAGAGTCGAAATAGAAAGTAAAATGATATTTAATAAGAAAAATTTATTTTTAATCTTTTAAAAGGGAAAAACAGAAAGTAAGTTTAATAATTTTGATTTTAATTTTGTTTTTTCTGCTATCTTTCTCTCTCTACTTCTTCTTCTTTTTCTTTTCTTTTTTCTTTTTTCTTTTTTTTTTTTTATCGGGGTTTGATTATGATGAATGCAGATTTTAGCATAATGATAAATCAGAACATCAGAAAAATTGGTGTGAACCAACCAATTGGCAGATTCATTACTCTGGTTGATTCATCCGCTTCTATTATGCCTCTTTTGTTTGCAATCAAAGACACAATGGTTTCGAACCCTGTAACTCTTTCCTATGAAGCTCTACCATTGTTTAGGGTTTTAGGATTCTGTCACACACCCTTTTCACATTTTGCTAACCAGACCAAAATCCCCACAAATCCACTATAGATAAGTGGTTTCAAGAGTTTTCTTCAACCAATCAAGACTAAATCCAAGGAAATATGTGAACAAAGGGAAGATAAAAGAGAATACAATTAGTATATATATAGAAATGAGAATTATTTATTAACACACAAATCTTAATTTGAGATTGTATTTTGAATTTGGAGCAGTGCTACACATTTTGAATCTTAATTTGAGATTGTATCTTGAATTTTATATGAATATCCCTTATTTTAATGCATATTATACTTTATTCATTTATACATTTGTGTTTCCCATTTTAACAAACTAAATAAATTGACAATTAAAGGAAAAAGCAAGAATGAACAATAATTACACTGGTTTCTTTCTCAATTTATAATTTGCTTTTATCAACTAATATTTATTATTATTATTATTATATATATATTTTTATTCACTCTCTCGACTTTTGAATATTTTATTTATCGGAACTTATGTAGAAGTATATCTTTGTTGAGTATTTTTAAAATTTAACCATAATCAGAAAATATCAAATCAAAATATATTTTTAAAAAACTTAAAGTGAACAATGTAAATTAAGGTCCTTATTTACGAGAAATAGATTACTCGTTCGTAGTAAAAAAATTGTAACTTTAGTTTATATTCGAAGATTTAATAAAAAATGGTCTCCCAAATTAATTTAATTCAAATTATTGTTGTTTTAGAGTTTGGATTCTATAATGATAAATTTTTCTATTTTTTCTCTACTTCCTATATTAAAAACTTATCCGTAGCACATGAAAGAAAATACTGGCATAGAAAACAAGGAGAAAATATTTATTTCCGCACCTCCATCTCCATCTCCATCTCCACCCCGGACAGCAATTGAACTCCTTTCGTCTACATTCTGGGTCTTAAGTGGCCTTGCATCTTAAAATAAACAAAACAATCAAATAGGCAGTCACATAATTTGATATAAAATCATAAATATAAATTCGTGAAGTATAATATTTTTTTTAATCAAGTTTATTTATTACTAATAATGCACGTTTGTGCTTTGATGTGATATAATATGGATATGTACTTTAATTATTTATTTTATATTTAAAAAATATAAAAAATGTTAATAAATTAACCACAAAAAAGAAAACTTCAAATTTTTATTATAATATAAGATTATTTAAAAAAAAAACATATATAATGTGGCACACATCTCGATACTTCAAAAAAATAGGAGTGATATTTACTCCAATTAAGTCACGTACTTTACATTAAATGTAAAGGATGACACAATGTAGTACGCTTGTACTATCCAGCTGGCATTGTCGTCGGCAAAGTGCAAACAAAAAATTAAAGGACAATAAGTGATAAATGTAAAGGATGGCACAAGTGCACTTGTACTTTAATTATTCATCACATAGACACTCATGCGGATGCCGGTGAGTCCAAGTAGCACAGGTTAAGACATATCATGTTAAGAAAATTATGCTTACGTTGAAATCAATGTGTGGTAAGGCGAGAGGTAAATTAAAATGAACACATTTTGAAGACAATAGGAGAACCTTTTAGAGATAAATGAAAATGAAAACTTAACCTTTTATTAACTAATTGGAAAAAGAAGAAAAATTTGCAGGTTAGTAATTGGGACCAAGTAACCAACATAGATCTAAGCATGTATTGTATTATTGAATGACATGGTACCCAAGAAAATATCTGCTCTACCTCACACCTTAGGGTTTCTAATCTTGCTCCAAGACTCATTAGGATTTCTCTACAATGGAGACCCAACCCCTCACTATAAAATAGTTCTTCCCCACCCACTGCATTATTCAAATCTAGAGTAAGCAAGGGCGGATGTAGGGTAGGCCTGAGCCCAAGCCAATTTTTATTTTTTATTTTTTTTTACTATACTAATTTTAGCCCAGCCAAAAATAAAAAAGTCATTAATAGAATTAGCCTACCCAATTAAGTCCAAGTTAACTCAGCCACCGTACTAAAATAAAGGCCCAAACCAAATAAGCCCAAAGCCGGCCCTGACTTGAGGCTACAAAAGGGCCTCACAATTTATGGGTCCATGATGGGTCACCAAAAAACAAAATAATTTTAGGGCAATATATATATATATATTTTTTTACCTTCTTTACTTTCTTTACTATTTTTTTTTCCCTTTCTTTTTGTTTTTTTTTACTGGAGGTCCTCTCAAAGAAAATAATTTATTCCATACTAATAATTTTATTTTTGACTTTTATTTATTTATTTTTTTTTTACAATCGTATTCAACAATTCTATCAAAAGAGGTAACTTTATTTTTTTGGTAATTTTTAATGGGTCCTGTCAAAAGAAATAATTTATTTGATAAAAATAACCTCTCTTTTTTGGGTCTTATCAAAAAAGATAATTTATTCAATATGGATAATTTATTCAAAAATTATCTTCCTTTGTACTTATTATTATAATTATTATTTTTTGGGATCTTGACAATGGAGATAATTTTTCACTAAATATAATTTTTTGGTGTTTTTTTTTTCATGTCAAAAAAGATAATTTTTTTAATTGTTACTTTTATTTTTTTGATCCAGTCAAAAGAGACAATTTAATCAACATAAAAAAATAATAATAATAAAAATAAAAAATTGGTTCATTAAAACAATATTTTATTTTATTTTATTTGTGTTAACAAAATATACTTAAAATAATAAAGATTAGAGATACAGTGAGATAATATGAAAGGGCAATTGGTAATTTAAAAAGTAATAATTATTTACTTATAAAGTGAAGGTTAAAATTGCCATTTCATTTAAGATTGTAATGCAGATGTATAAAACTGGAGTGAAGTTCGCTTACCTATAATAATACTAATATATATAAAAGTTATTTTCATTGAATAAATTATTTTTCTTTTGACAGGACCCATAAAAGATTACCAAAAAATAAAAATTGAAAAAAAGGCAATTTTGTTGAATAAATTTCTCTTTAGTTTGTACAAAAAATAAAAATAAAAGAAGAGTAAAAGTCACTATGGAATAAATTATCCCTTTTGGACTGCCAAAAATAAAATTATTAGTATAGAATAAATTATTTTCTTTGAATGTACATCCCGAAAAAACAAAAAGAAAGAAAAAAAAAATATTAAAGAAAGTAAAGAAGGTAAAAAAAAAAAAATTAAAGTTGTATAAACGGTAGTTATGACATTATAAATTAAGGAATTGTAATTAAGTCACATACTTTACATTGTGTAAAGGATGGCACAATGTAGTGCCTTGTACTGCTGGCAAAGTACAAACAAAAAATTAAAGGAAAATAAGTGATACCCTCCCCCAACTTCGTACTATCGGGTGTACAGAAATATTTATACTCTACATCTACTGATTATTTTCACCACTTTCTTTAGTGTAAATTAAACAATTCAAAGAATAAATTATGTTGGTGTGTTAATTATCATGTCAAAATAATGAAATCAACCAATATATATATTTATATGCACACACACACACATATATATTCTTTTCTTATTTATTCACTTTTAGATTAAAAAAAAAGAAGTAAAAACATAATTTCCATATAGTCTATGGTAAGAATTTTTGGACCTATATAAAAAGTGAAATTTTATGAATAATGCAAAGTTTTACATCAAATGACATAAAAAATGACTCTTATATTATTTAAAACGCTTTTTCAGTTATAGTATGAATTTTTAAATAAACGTTACTAAAAATTAGAAGACATAATATACTTAAGATGTGTGATTTGATCAAATTTTAATTTTATAAATTGGGGTAGATTTAGCCGGGCGAGTAGTGGTATAGTGGTGGCATGGTTGGCGTCCATTGTATGGAATATATGCGTGTGTCGGACGCTTTCGAACAAAGGAGACTTGTTTTTTGAACTGCAAGTGACAACTGGACAGTACAGTGAACAGCTGTAGCCGTCAACGTGTCGAACAACCATCGGTAAGGATCTGCTTCTCGGCCTTTTCCAAAAAATATATTTCTAGGGCAAATCAGTTCAGCCTCCCTAATCGCCTCCATCTCTTTCTCGTTCTCAACTCTGAACACCCCCCCCCCCCCCTCTCTGCAACTGCCAACTACAAAATCTACAAGAATCAGAAGTTCAAAACCCATATATTTCAGTTTATCTATCTGTCTGCAAGAAAAAACCTATTACCTATATCAAAACCCATATCGGCGTGTCATTTCAGATTGTTCAAAAAATCAAAACCCATATCTTTCAGTTTCCATCGCCTACTGTTCCAGTTCGGGTTCGCCGTTCGCAAGCTTCAGCCGCTGTCTCTCAAGTCTCGAGCACTGCTAACTTGTATGTATGGGTTTTGTTTTAAATTTTTTTTTCTAAATCAACTAATCAAGGTCTGTGATTCTTGTTTTGCAAACTAAATCCTATTTGGCGAAATTTTTTATGATCTTTTTAAAATATATATATAGAAATTAAAAAAAATATTTGTTTTGCTGAAATAAAATGTAGATTACGGTGATTACCTCAAAATGCAATGCAAATTTTGTTACTTTATATTGCAAAATATATATATATATATTGTCAATTATGTCTGCAAGAAAATTTGAATCTGGGCATGAAAAAAGAAAAAAAGAAAAAAATAATCTGAATTGGATTAGAAATCTGCAGAGATTGAATCTGAAACAATTTTTATCAGCATGCCAAGCTTTTTGAATATGGAAATCTTTTCAGAACTTAAAAAAAAAAATCATAACAAGAAATTTGACAAACAAAAGTACTTAATATAGGGTAAAGCTCTAAAATTACTTCTTGAAAATTAAAATACTTGCAAAAAGCATGCCTTTGAGTGAATTCCATAGTGTTGGAAGGGGCTTGCCATGATCTACCTCACGCTCTGCTTCCACTAGTAGATTCTCAAATAGGATTAGTAAATTGGTCAAAAGAAGGGATATGGTACTGAGTGGTGAATTGTTCAGAAATTAATTGGTATTTTTTTTTATTAATTACCTAAATAGGATTTTCTATGCCTTAATCAGTCGATTGTCTAAAGAAACATTGTTAGTTAACTAAAATGGAATTAAACAACAGTTGATTTTGGTTGATATATTTTGATTTAGCCCACAACATTGAGAAATCTTGGATGTTTTGTTTCACATAGAAATACGATTTGTTTAATCCACTAAGGATATATTCAATCTTTCTGCCATATTTTTATTTTCAAATTTTGGTTTTTGATTTTCTTTTGTTATTAGAATGCAGAATATCATGATATTGATTTGTTAATTTTAAAGATTATTCCTAAATTGGTGCATTGTACTTTGTTATTGGATTAATTTAACATAAGAGCCGAGTATAATATGTGTGCTAATCACAAGAAGTGTCCAACATTTTGACTGAAAGCATAATTGGGTTGTGTTGATACATGATACAGGTAGTACTTAGATGGCGGTGTTTTAATTGTTATGGGTGAGATTGTGAAACCTCTTCCTCACAACTTGAGTTTTTTCTTATTTTTAGGGTTAGCATCGGGCTTTAACATTTAGTAAGAACAAGGTTCAACAAACATGCCTCCTCAGTCATCAGGTAACAAACTCTTACTTTTTCTAAAATTTTAATTGGCATTTTTAGCTATTGGTTACGTTTATTTATTCCTGTTTTACATACTGATTTTTGGTTTTTGTTTTTGTTTCAACATACATATATATAATATTGTTATGATGTGATGCACGAACAATTTGTTAATGGAAATTAAAGACTTGGAAGTTTAGTTTTTAATTTCAGAATATATGTTTTACAATTTTGTTAACGCTTTTAGAACTTTTCCTCTTTTGTTTTAATAATATAGGTTTCTTTTCTGAAAGAAGTAAGTTGATGGGAATGGGTGGAGTGGGCAAAAAGAAAATAGGTATGTTTTTTTTTCCTAGCTAATTGAATTATATAAATCCCTTTACCATTGTAGCAATGATGTTGGTTTTAAAATGACCAATTATGATAGGAAGTCTCTTTTCAATTTATCTTAATCAAATGTATATTTATGCAAGAGGATTATGTGATTCTAGATGACGATTCTAGATGAGGATGTTAATGTTAACGTTATGAGGATGTTGATGTCAACGTTGACTCTAGTGATGGACGACTGATGATGTTGATAATATGTTGATGCACCCAAATTAAGTCAAAACACTTAGAATTGAAGGAAATTTGGAGTTGAAGACATACTATTGAACATACTGTCTAATTCTTTTAGTTACAAGAATCTTTGGTTACTTCACACACGATTTTTCAGTTACTGCAATTTTGAAACAATGGTGTGCAATATGATTCATCTACTTGGGCTTTCTTCTTTTTCATCTCTCTAAACTCTAATTTTATCTTTGGAAAAAGAAAAAGAAGACTGTGCAATTTTAATTTAACTTTATTAGTTTGAGCATTGACATAGTTTCTGAAATGTTGAAATTGAAACAGCAAAGAAGGGAGAGTCCACCAATAAGAATTACCAAACTTAATAAGTTCGCTGAGAGTCTTGACTAATATTGGCATGGGAGACTTCTATATATGGATTTGTAGATAGAAAAATATATGGTTGGGGGCACAAAGTGTACGACAACTGTGAACCAATGATAGGGTTGTGAGCTTTTGGCTTGTTTCATGCATCGGATCTAAGAAGTGTACAAAAATGAAATGGAAAGCTCTGATGCATTCAAAGTTACAAGCAGAGACAATAATTAATGTTATATATTTATAACTTACTCTACTAATCTAATATGATAGTACGTATATCATACATTTATACACATATATATGTGTTTGTAACTTTATAGTTAGACTTGGATATATTTTGATTTAGCCCACCCCATTGAGAAAATCCTGGATCCGCCCTTGGGCGGTGGCCATGGTGGGAGGAGGCAGCGTGGAGCGATTGGATATTCTAATTTTTGAGTTTTTTTTTTTTGATACATAATGCTACAGTAGTGAAAGTATTTCTTGCAAACAGTGTAGAAAATAGAGAAAGTAACAAATTCTCACTTTCTCTTTCCTTCATTAAATCTGAAAGTACTTTCTAAAAGGTGAAAAGTAAAATTATATTAGTAAACATAATTTTCACTTTTACTTTACAATTTTAGAAATTGACAATAAAAATCAGAAAATAAAAGCGTTAGTAAGCATGCCCTTAACAACTCCACTTAACTTTTCGTTGTAAGTATATTACACTTATAAAATACTCTAAATGGACCCGGGCCAAAAAAAAAAAAAAGGTTATAAACCCTTTTCCATTGCTTTCTTCTTATGTTTTTTTCCTTCTAAAATTTAGGCAAACGTGCACATTTTCTCTCGGAGATCGGCGAAGCGAAGAAAGATTTCTAGGGTTATGAACGCCTCGTCATCCACGCACACGGCTTTTCAGGTTGAATCATTTCTAGGGTTAAAGTTTTTTCAACGTTTTGAAATTGAATTGTTGTAAGCATTTCTAGGCTGTAAGTTTTTCAAAATTCTTAGTTTCTTTGTCTTCGATCTAGGTTTAGTTTTCTCAATGCTAAGTCATTGAATTTAATTTTCGTTCAATTATTTTTTTATTCATTCTTGGAAGAGTTTTTAATGATTTAATCCGTATTCAACCATTGATATTGTCAATTTTGCATTCAATTTTAAGAAGATCTTTTGTTGCATTGACTTATTTGAAGCATTTCCAGGGTTTTAGTTTTCCAACATTTTTAGTTTCTTGGTCTTTGAATATTTAGATCTAGGTTTAGCTTTTTCAATGTTTTGTCTCTAGATTTAATTTTCGTTGCTACTGATATGGGCAGTTGCTTGTTTATTCATACTTGGAAAGAGTTTTTTTTAACCTATTTCAACTTCAACAAGTTCTTTTGTTGTTGGGACTATTGATTACTTTATTGGAGTTGTGATTTGTTTATTGTTTATTATTATTATTTTTTTTCTGTATTCTTGTAGTGTCAATTTTGTCCATGCAGAGGTGTGATTACTTAATTATTCTATTTTTGAATGTTTGTCCATTATTTTTGGATGTCCTCCAATTCATTGTCAATTTTTTTTGTCCTATTCATGTCTAATTCGACTAGATTTAAAGTTATAAGTACCTTGTCAAATCAATTCAGGAATGGCCAGAACTGGAAACACAAAACAGCGGAAGTCACGAGTGTAGAGGCACAAGAAAAGATCTAAGAAGCGGTCGCAGATGGATCCAGAATCCCTCAAGATGCTGAGGGAACTTATGGCGTATCCGGCTGCTATTAAAACTCTCAAAGATGACAAAAACACTCTGGAGATACAATTTAATAAGGTTCGAATTTTTTCCTTTATCTGCCTACGATTCTTTCGAACTTTGCCAAGGAGTTGCTCCATAGCTTATCTTCCAATTGCAAACTTATGCTTTCTCCAACTTTGGATGAGCAGACAGGAAAGTCACTAGATAAATTGGCTAAGCCCAATCTCATACCTCTACATGGTGAGTACATGGTGAGGCTTTAGAGCTGCTTTGCAATCATGCGTGATTTTAGTTAAGTAATTAACTAGTTATAATATGCATGTATGTGTGTGTGTATATATATATATATATATTCAGGAACGGCAACTATATCGACAACGTCAAGGCAAACGATGACCTCCGAGGATCGGATGGGTGTACTTCGTAGTGAAAAGAGTGTTGGAGGAGCAGTTGAAGGAAAAAGATAGCGAGGTGAACAACAAGAGAACACAGATTGAAGTTGCAGAAATGATAATGAATGATATAATTGCGGATTTGGTAACGGTAATGAAGGACATTTCAATCTCTAATAATAGATGAGCTGAGTTTTGCTGCTGATTTGATCCGCAAGAGAGGAGAAAATGGATGCAGAATCGTATTGTGAGGGTCTCACTCAGGGAGTGTGCTGACAAAAAAATATGGAGTGCCACGTATATATGGTAGGTATATATTACCCAATCTTCTTCTTTGATTTAATGTTCTCAGGTTAGCTATTAGGTCGTCTCTGATATTATCAAATGGTTATTTTTCTTCTAAAAGTAACTTGAATGTGAATTGAATTAAACCTCTGGAATCTTATTTAATTTCTGAGGTTATCTTGCTTGCATCTAATTTGTAGAGGGCTTGAGTGTCGGAATGTTTCGTTCTAATAGAAATCTTTAGGAAGATGCATGTGCATGGTTAAGAAACAAGTTTTAATGATTTCTGATAGAGTATATTTTAACCATTTTTGTAGGGTCTCTGGTGATGATTGTATGTTATGTATTTGACCTTCCTGACTTGGAATTAGAGGTTGATTTGGAATTTTCAACTAATCTTCCTTGTAAACCTAAAACTTTCTTGGATCACTCCCCTGCATATTCACTTGTAACCTTCCTGACTTGGAATTAGAGGTTGATTTGGAATTTTCAACTAATCTTCCTTGTAAACCTAAAACTTTCTTGGATCACTCCCCTGCATATTCACTTGTAATATTACTCCTAGAAATTTCTTTCTTTTCATTGGTGGCGTTACCCTAAACAGAATGTATTTAATGATGTTCTCCTTTCTTGTTACATGTTTATTTCAATGGTCATGCTAAATAATAGTGTTTGGAAGAAGGAAAGATATTACTTTCAACCATTTTGGCAAATCTCAGAATTAGCTGCAAAGTAACAGTGTTAATCGTCCAGCTATGTCTCAAAATTATTTTGTTTTGTTTAGATATTGAGCAAATATATATAAAGGTCTGATGCTGTACATGTGGCATATTTGAGAAACATAAGGTTCATCTACAGTTTATCTTTCTGTTCAATAGGTTTTATGAAGATATTTAGAAAGAATTTTGGTTTGCAGAATTTTGAAGTTACTCTAGTTATTTTGTTTTTCATGGTGTTCAAGGATTTTGCTAGGGGTGGCAAAGTTCGACACGACCCGCCGACACGACACGTACACGACACGAACTAAATGGGTAATGAGTTTACTATAAACGGGTTCGAGTCGTAAACGGGTTAACACGATTAACCCGTTAAGTTAAAAGTGTCGTGTTCGGGTTTTAGAGTTCAACCCGTTTAACTCGTTTTGTCCCGTTTAATTAAATGTGTCACCCGTGAACCCGTATAACCTGTTTTGACCTGATAAGGGACATTTAGGTCATTTCATACTATACATAAGAAACCCTACATATCACATTATCACTATACGCCCTAGTCATTAGAAGATATCTGCCTCTGCGTTTTCTCTCTCTTCTCTCCTGACTCTTCAGTCTCTCTCTAGTCTTTGTCACTCCTCTTTCCTCTTCAGAGTTCAGACATCGTGAACTCACCCGGATGATCGGATCTCTATCTTCAGTCTAGTCTCCAGTCCTCCGTCTTGTACAACTCAGTGAACTCACCCGGACCTATCTTCTTGTTGCACGCATCTGATTCTTCTACAACTTAGTGAACTCACCCGGATCTATCTTCTTGTTTAGGTAAAATACTAAAATTATTTATGGTTTATGGTTTATCTAAATATTGTTTTGGTCCTCCTCTCTCTATATAGTTTATCTAAAATTATTTATGGTTTTCGTTTGGATTTTGTTTATGGGATGAGATCGATTTAATTTTCTTGATTGCTGATTTACTGAATTTGTTGTTTTTGTGGATAGCCTGAGTGTATAGTTGATTTTTTTTGGCTTTTGTGCAGTTGTTTTCAGAATTATCTTATGATATATAATTATATATGCTCAACTCGATTGTTTTGGGACAATTTAATTGTTTGGAAACATGTGACATTGACATTAAAACTGCTTGTAATTTCATTGATCACAAAGAAATTATGTGGAGTGATATGGAATTTCTATATGTGCAATGACAACGTATATGCTTTACTACATGTACTTGATGTATTGCTGTAACATGGAGCCTCTTTGATCCTAGATAAGCTTATAATATGAATTGAGGAACTCTGTTTTCTATTTTTTTTTTAAAATTTATTTTAGGGAAAATTCCTAATAAGTCCTACTTTTTAGCTCTATTGACCAACAAGTTCTACAAATTTTTTAGAAAGACAAAAAAGTCCTATTTCAACAAACATTTCCAAATAAGTTCAGATTCTGTATTTTATAATTTTATTTCCATTATTACCCTTTCTCTTCAAAGGGTTCTTCAGCTGCATTGTTGAAAAGCTCTCGAGTCCTGTCTTTCTTGACTCTTATACTCTCTCGCTCCTAATTAAAATTTGACTGAAAGTGTCTATACATTATATATATATACACACACATTTGAATATAGAGATGGATAGAATTACATATTTGATGGATTTATTTTCAAATTTAAACTTCATTATAGATAGAATTTCAAATCCACACTCCTCTCCTTCTCTGCCATGCTCAAACCCTAAATCTCAACCACCCCTCTCCTCCTAATGCCCAAAAACCTTCAATTTAGTGTGTGTGCACATATATATACATATTTGTAGAGAGAGAAAGAGAGAATTAAAGGATGGGTTTAATTTTAGATTTGTGCAAATGCGTGATACTGTAGAGAGAGTGTATATAATACAAATATTTGTAGAGAGAGAGAGAAATAATTAAAGGCTAGATTTAATTTTCAGAATTAAAGGATGGGTTTAATTTTCACACATATATATATATGCCACTAAACAATTTTCAGATCTAGCTAGCTGAATCATTGAAGATGAATCTGCATTGTGTGATGGTGGTGTTGGTGAGAATATCTTAGACGCGGGAACTTGCTGAAAGCGGGAAAGTGAATTTGACAGAAAAAAGAGAGATTAACCAGAAGAGTAGGATTCTCATGATGAAGGAGATGAGGTTAGAGAGAGAGAGAGAGAATGTGTGTGAGAGTCGGGAGATGAGAGGTTAGAGCAAATACTGTGTGTGGAATGGGTTTAGCTACTGTTGTGGGTCTGATATTATGGAGAGAGTGCACGGTAGCATTTGGAAAGGGTAATAATGGAAAAATAATGGTAATATACAGAATTTGAACTTAGTTGGAAATATTTTTTAAAATAGGACTTCTTTGTCTTTTTGAAAAATTTGCAGAACTTGTTGGTCTTTGGAGCTAAAAAGTAGGACTTATCAGGAATTTTCCCTTTATTTTATGTCTCTTCTGTGCAGCTACTTGCTGGTCTTCCTTGTTTCGTTGGCTAGAAAACTAACTAATGTTCTTTCTTTAATAAAATTTCATTTACCCGAAAAATATTTGGGTCTCCAATAGTGTGCCCAGATCATTCAGCTCAGAATTGAATGCACAAACATTCATCAAAAAATGACATATTTCATTTAGCTGAGAATGTACCTAATGTTAGAAAGAGAAATTTGGGAACTGTTTGATGAGATTAACAAGTGCGCCAAAGTGTTCCATTAATCAATTTGTGGTATAATAAACCCCTTTCCCAACCGTTTTACTATTGATCATTAATCAATTTTTAGTTTTATGTTTTGTTTTTGTTTCATCTGTTGTTGTAATTGTATGCATCCATGAAAAAAACTGAAACTGTGGAGGCTTTGGTATGCACGAGGGACTGGCTTTTTGGTTTGAAAGGTTAACGACTGTTAATAAATTTCAAATTATATTCTTATTGCAGATAAATTTTTTGTGTATGATTTTTTTATAGATACAATGATGCTTCAAATGGATGACTTGATTGATGATGTGATGAAACTAAATACCAACAATGACGATACTGTTGAAGGCCCGCCAATGTTCCACCGGTGTTGGCATGACCGAAAATTAAAATCCAAGACTTGTTGCCTCAAGATTCAGTTTAAGACATTTCTATTAAACAATTTTATTTGGTTCTGTAATAATTAATAACTTTATTAGCTTATGACTTATCTTTTATTTTTAATCTCTTTTGGACTAGAGTAATGTCTTTTGTTTGAACTTATGACTTATCTCAGTTTCAGACGTTTCTATTAATGGCTTTTGTTTTTATTTGTTTTTACTTTGCTATTATTTTAATCTTTGGTTACATTAATCAGGTTAAGTTGTTAAACAGGTTAAACGGGTAAATGTGTTAAATATGTCTTTAAACAGGTCGTGTTTGGTGTGTCTAACACGACCTGTTTATTAAACAGGTTACACATGTTGTGTTATATCACTCGTTTAATAAACATGTCGTGTTTGGGTTGATATGTTTAGTGTTGTACCCTTAGGTTGACACGATACGATTATGACACGCGAATCCGAATTGTCATTCCTAGATTTTGCACCTAAAAGATTTCAATAAATCCACCAAAGAAAATGTAACATAGGCTGATTGGCAAAGAATTGGAATCGGAGGAAATTTAGTCCAATTTAGTTCAATTCTGTAAAATAAATTAAATTTCATTTATTTCCAATTCCAAAGTTCAATTATGTAAAATAAATTAAATTTCATTTATTTCCAATTCCAACGGCCGATTCAATGCTCTTAAAGATAGCTTTAGTGTTTCTTTGTTATCATTAAAATATCCTTGAAATTCAACTCTTTTTGCTTTGTAATTGGTGGTGAATTGAGGCATGGCCAATGCAGTGTTCCCTAAATCTTGCTTGAAATATCCTTGCTTTTTATCTTGCTTGTAGCATATGCTTTTAAGTGTATTTATTACAGTATATATATATATATATATATATATATATATATATATATATATATATATATATATTTGTTTTTATTGTAACAAACAATGAATCTATTATTAGTGGAACTGGTTTAAGCTCCCCTAAAAAATTATATGCTTATGGTTCTTATTAGTTTGTAGATATCTGATTGGAGGAGGCAAACTCTGTCCCTAAAGATTGGATCATGGAAAGGTATGGATCCATCAATATATCTTTCTTTCATTTTTTATTTTTATTTTTTTATATTCATCACACGACTATTCTTCCTTTTCTATAATATCTCATTTTTCTCTGTTCTCGGCTGCTTCTGCTTCTTCCCTAGTTGCAGGACAATTGGATATAATATCTTATTTTTCTCTGTTTGTCAGCCTCTTTTACCCTAGTTGCATGACAATTGGATATATCTGTTTTCTGTGTTTCTCAGTTTGAACAAAATGAAATGGTGGATGACATGTTTTTTCATTTTATCAGTTTGAACAAAAAATTTCTGTTAAAATGCACTTGTGGCTATGTTATCTTAGGTTAATTGGTGGGATCACTATAGTTGTCATATTTGTCTATCCATGAATCTTGTGGGATTATTATTATTATTTTTTTGTTTTTGTTTTTTGAAAGGTAATTGTGGAGTGAAAGGTGGCTACGATTGTCATGTTTGGACTTCTTTATTTATTTTTTTATTTTTTAAACATTGGTAAGAAACTCACGCACTCAACCTTAAAATTTAAGCGGATTTAATGAGAATCCTCCATTAGATGTCCATGACAAAATTTGCTTGTATTACTCAAAGGAATCAACTGAATCATTTCAGTCTTTATTCCATTTCCTTCTCAATAATCCAATTATCCTACCATATTTTAATTTGCTTTCCATCAACTTTGCCTACATAAGAAAGTATTTTCTCTTGAATAGAAGGTAAAACTTTCTCTTAATCTCCAGAGGCCGGCAATGCTTATTCCGGTGATATGAAGCTCGTCGACAAGGCCTTGCTTTTCTAGATCGATATTTACATTAACTGACCTATTTATGTCCAATGAGTTTGGACATGTGTTCTTTACAAAAGCTGCTTATGGCTCAGCCCAACATATGACAAATAGGAGTATATAAATGTTATGTGGCCTTGGCCTAGAGCCCAATTCCGGTGATATGTGAAGTTGGTATCTTTTTTTGTTTGGCAATATGAAAAAAACAAAACACTACACACAAAGGCGTAGGACATAAAACAAACAGAGCCACCATAAGATATGGGCACAAAGATCCTACATCCACACAATCATTTTACGGCCCAACCAAAGATAAGGCCCATACTCAACTGGTAAAGATTAATTGCAGGCCAAAAATATGGGCTTAAAACTGAACCGAACGGAACATCGGTCCAATTTAACATACCCACCTTTGATTGGGCTGAGCAACAGCCACACAGGCCCATTCTGTCCTTCACCCTCCAGCATCCACTAGAAATTTCACCTAGGTCCTTATTATCTTTCCCATCGTGGTCGACACGCAAAGAAATCCTAGCCACCATGAGGTCAGAAGACATGACAGATGGCTCACAGCACATCATTACACTTCCCCAGTCATGATTGAACCCAAACGCCGTTGCTCATCCCAAAACAAGAAGAACACACATGGAAGTTGGCATGCTTCTACTACTAGGACTTGAACTGGTTTTTCACTATGTATGCTTGTATGTATGCCTCATTTGTACATATTATATGTGAGGATGTGAGCAATGACATAATTGCTCTTATCAAACTAATATAAAGGTTAATATTAATAGCATTCTGATAATAAGTTGAAATTAATAAATATTACCAAAGAGAATTATCTAATTTAATGATATAATCTCTTTTATGTCTTCGAAAAAGAAGGGAGAAATTCCAAATGGATAAAAAGCTCGGTAATTAATCACAAACAAAATACCCACTCATTAATAACATTTCCGAATTTTCTTTAAACTCAACTTTGTGATTCAAGTTCGTTCTATTCGTTTGGGATTCAAGAAGTCTTCCTTATTTTTGTTTTAATTACATTAATCAATCTTCTAGAAAACAGCAAAAAGTGCAATAAAGAAAAACGAATGTTGACATAAATTGTCTACAAGACTGGTATATTCTGGACACTTGGATGTTGAATACTTATATAAAATAATCTAGAATTTTGTTCTAAATTTTAAGAAATTTAACTATTGGATAAACACTTGTATAAATCCTTGCAATCCATTGCAAGACAATTGGGTATGTAAGTGTTAAAAGGCCATTTGTTCCTCATGATGAAGGGAGCAGTGTTGGGTCATTGGAATTTTGTTCAACTAATTTTTTAGAATATATTCATTTCCTCAATGAATTTAATGAAGTATTTATTGCACCAACTTTGAAGATAAAAAAAGGTGTGGATGATATGTTTTTTTCATTTTATCAGTTTGAACAAAAGATTTTGTTAAAATGTTTGTTTTTTTGGAAGGTAATTGTGGGGTAGTCTATGATTGCTATGTTTGGACTTTTTTTACCTTATTAAGAGAGTCAAGTTGTAACTATATGTTCTTCAATCTTAAAATTAAGCGGATTTAATGAGAATCCTCCATTAGATGTCCATGACCAAATTTGCTTCTGGGTATCACTCAAAGGAATCAACTGAATTATTTCTCAGTCCTTATCCTCGGATTAGATATTTATTCCATTTCCTTCTCCATAATCCAATTATCCTACCATATTTTAATTTGCTTTCCATCAACTTTTGCCTACATAAGAAAGTATTTTCTCTTGAATAGAAGGTAAAGCTTTCTCTTTACTTGCAACCTCTACTTCTGTTTGGCAAGTAATGCAGTGTTAAAAGCTTCCATGTGCCTGAATCCCAGCTCACCTTTGCCTTTAACCTTTGTCAGCTGCTACCACCCAATCCAATAAAAGATTGGCTATGATTTTCAAAGGAACAGGTGCCCATTTAACATCAAATTTAATGTTGGGGTAGAGAAAATGTCTCGAGCCAATGTTCGAGTACCAGGCGCTACGGCGCTGAAGTAACCCATGCCATACTCCCAGGAAAAGCTCGAACGACCTTCAACAAAGGGTACCTGTACCCGAAACCGACACAGGTGGGTAGGTAGAGAATACCTAGGGGCATATTAATATGAATATAGAATTTTCAATCAATATTGAATATTTATAGAGCATAACGATGAATATAGCGATATAGAATTTCGATTTATTTATCACAATTAGAATTCTAAATTCTATATTATTAGATAGTAAAATTTGAATTTTCGTTTTTCAATTCAAATGTCATTTGACATTTGTGTTATATGTAGAATAATGATTTAAGTACTGAATTTAATTCAATTTATATAGTGGAGTGGTGTGGGACCCATCACCTTTATCACATTACTTACGATTTCTAAATCGATATTCTATTATTTAAAAATAACTTCACATAAATTAATGTTGTAATTGAATTATTATTAAGATTGACATTGGTAATACCATGCTGTCTCTAATTTAAATGGTAATGTCTCATTCTCAAATAGGGATATTGAGAGTTCAATGGCGGCCATTAGGGGGATTATTGCAAGTATGAGCAGGGACTAATGTGTGTTTGGTTTAATTTTTTATTAAAAAAGAAAATAAACAACATTGGTTTGAGTCGTTTGACAACTTGAGAGTTGAGACCAACCAAGTGTGCGTATTGTTTCTCGGCCACTTGTATATTATAGTAATACAAAAGCAACTTTCAAATTATAGTAAATATTACTTCAAAAGAACCACCGTGTGGAAGGAAGATCAACTTTCAAATTTTAGAGCAACTTTTAAATGGGCCCAAGCATGGGCAACTTTTAAATGGGCCCTTCAGCCAGTCTCAAAAAAAAAGAAAAATCCAAAGATCAAAGGTTGGGGAGATCTATTGGGCCCAAAGAAAACATTTGAACGGGCCTTCAGATCCATAATTTAGGGTTAAAAAAAAAAAAACACATCAATCATTACCTTTTGTACTAACATCTACAGACATATAATTACGTACATCATCGACTACAGAATTAATATATGGTCGGACTCTCAAAATTCGATTAATCACTAGCTAGCTGACACGTAATCGATTGTTTGGCAACTATTCATTGGCCAGTGTAATAACTTTTTTTTCACCCATCCATACAAAATAAAAAGGCAAAAGTGCAAAAAAAAATTTCCTGAACTATCCATTTTTTTGTAAATTCCCCCCCTGAAGAATCAAAGTGTGCAAATAGCCCCCTAAGAGTCACCGGATCAATTTTTCCGGCGTGTGTAAAGTCATGCGCCTGTCGAAATGATGGGAATGCCGAAACTACCCTTCTTTGTTGTCAAATGACCAAAAAACCCTTGCTCCTTCAATGTCGTACCAAAGAGGCGAATTAGAGCCTCTGGAGTTAGTGATTATGAAAATTGAAGCAGTGAGAGAAAAGCAAAACGTGGAGAGCCAGAACACGAGAATCAGCGTGTTGAATCACCGGAGCTTTTGCACGGAGACGGTAGATTGGAAGTGAGGAGGCATCTGGATTCGGGGGTGATGCGAGGGAGTGTCGTTGCCGCCCAAGGGCGAATCCAGGAATTGTCAAGAGGGGAGCTAAGCAAAAAAAAAATTTTAACAGGATGATTGAATCTTAGAGGGATCGAAAGATGAAAAAGTTCAAAATTTTAAAGGAAATACGATTAGAATTTAGAGGGAGAGGGGCTAGGTCATATAGAAGATTAGGAGGAGCTTTCTGATTCATGCTCTAACTCTTAATCAGGTTTTAGTGATTGTTTAGGGTTTATTTGTCTTGGGCCTATTTGGTTGAGCTTTGTTTTAAAATTGTAACTTAAATCTTTGACTTATTTGGATGGGTTAATATTTAGGAGGACTAATACTACTACTAAATTTTTTTTTTATTTTTAGAATTGGACTAAATTTAGCATTATTAAAAAAAAAAAAAAAAAATTTTTGGGTGGGGCTCAAGCCCACCCAAGCCCCCCTCTATGTCCGCCTGTGCTGCGGCCGTTATCCCAATTTCGTTAATGGACAGCATAGTTCTCCCTTTTGATTTGTTCTATTATAAGGAGCAATTTCCTTTTTCTGTGATTTTTTATCTTCATCTTTTGAAGGATGTAATCATAATTTTCCTGTGATTTGTTCCGATCAACCTCTCTAATGAAAATTACTTTGTCTGGAAAACTAATGCTTCGTCTTATTCAGAGTCAAGGCATGGTTGGTTTCATAAATGGTGAGGTTTCAGCACCAACTGAAAGGATTACAATACCAGATGATGGCGATGATAGCTCTATGGACGGCATGAGGGAGATAGAGAACCCAAATCACCAGGAATGGAAAAGATCTGATGCTCTATTACAAAGATGGATGAAAGGGACGATCGATGAACACCATGTTCTTCCAGATGTGGAGTGCTTGGAAACTACTAAAGATTTGTGGGAAAGGTTAACTGTTCAGCAAGAAAGTAATATGGGTAAGGTGACTTAATTTATGACAGATTTCTCACACACACACTCACCCACCCACACACACACACTGATATATATATATATATAGACACATGCTCAACATTCCATCAATGGCTTAATTTCTTAAAAATTCTGGCTCTCTTTTGCAGAGTACCCGTACCCAATAGATGTCAACGTGAATGATTTTGTTCCCTTAAAGCTTTCCAGTAGCAACTCTGTTATGTGGACAAGGATGATGCTTCGTCTTTTTGAGAATGAAGGCTTGGTTGGTTTCATTTTGCCAGATGATAATATGTTCATCCCGAGAGCATATTCATTGGCATGGAAAAGAACAGATGTGTCGGTGCAAGGCTGGATAATAAGGACGATCAATGAAGAATTCCTTCCACATGTGGTGGACACAAAAACAGCCAGGGATATGTGGACAAATTTAGAGAGAGCCTTCATTGTTAAAGACCGGAGAGCCACATGTTTGGAACGTCCCTCTACTGAAACTGTTATTGGTAAGGTTAATTGGGCATATCTCTCAGCTTCGTGCTCACCGTCCATGGCTATCTTTGGTTTCAACCGCAACAACCTATCAAAGACTGGTTAAAGGAAATTCTGACAACGACCTGAATCAAAGACCGATGGAAGGATGCAATCATCAGCGGCGGTGACAACTTGAGCACTGTAGAGTTAGAATTGGTATTAAGCACCAGCGATGAGTGAGGCGGATATATGATGCATACGCGCGTGTGTATATATATATATATATATATATATATATGTATATATAAGAAAAGAAAAAAATTAGGCTTTTTTTTTTTTTTTTTTTCTTTTTTTATATAACTTAATAAGTAAGGTTGTTTCCGTCATTTCAAATTAACATATGCGAAAAAGTTCATCCGATGATTCCCATGGAGCTATTTGCACACTTTGATACTTTAGGGAGAGATTTGCAAAAAAGTGAATGGTTCAGGAGTTTTTTTTCTACAGTTTTACCAAATAAAAATTAAATCTTGCGAGGACTATAACAACCAAAGGTTGGATATTTGGTAGATGTATGAAGAAGAAACTAGGGCTACTATTTTCTTCTTTTCATAAATTTCTATTGGATTCAGAGTTGTCATAAGCTCCTTCGTTAATCTGTAAATTCCTCCTTCGTTAATCTGTAAATTTCTATGCAGAGCTTTTTTATATTGAGATCGAACTTTAAACGAACAAAAAAACACAAGGTACATACATATTTATGTCTTTTTATTTTTGTTTTTGTTTGCCTCTGGTTTTTGTTGGTTAGTAGCTATTGTTTAACTTTGATCAGTGTTATAGTGTTTTTTTTTTTTTTCCTGGGTGATTCGATTAGTCTAGTGTTTTTGCTGAAGCATTCTTATTTAAAGGTTTTTTCTTTTCTTTTCTGGGTGATTGGATTAGTCTAGTGTATTTGGTGAAACATTCTTATTTAATGTTTTTTTTTTTTTTGTTGGTAATTTATGCCCATTCTTTTTGTTCATCAGAGTAAAAAGTACAAGGAGGACTGGATGAGTGGGCTCAGGGACGGATTGCCCCCACTGGAATTTTTTTTATTTTATTATACACCTTGTAAAAAAAATATTTTGAAATATATACCTATAAAAATTAACCATTGCCCCCACAAAATTTTTAAAAAATTAGCACTATTGCCTCCACAAATCCACATTTTAAAATTTTTCTTCTTGTTGTTAAAGGTTGCCCCCACTCACATAATTTTCTGAATCCGTCCCTGAGTGGGCTGCCTGATGAAATTCTTGTTTCTGTTGTGTCTCTTCTGGGAATTAGAGAAGCGGCACGCACTTTTGTACTCTCAAAAAGATGGAAACATTTGTGGTCATTTAACAGGGTTCTAAACTTTGATGCTTTACAAACAATTTTTGTTCTTGAATTGAATCCAAAGGAGCTGCTGGAAGTAGAAAGATCTAAGTACATAAGTTGGGTGAACAAAGTCGTGGAGTCGCATCGTGGTTTAACCATAGACGAGTTTAGAGTTTCTTTTTGTTTGAATATCTCTTCTAGTTGTGTCATTGATAGATGGATTGAGTTTGCAATAGCAAAGTGTGTTCAAAGGCTTGAGGTGGACTTCCAACCATGTAACCTTCTCGAAGAGGCTGCTGGTATACCATATACTTTTCCAAACCAGACTTATATTCACATCAAAAGTCCCGTGGGTTTATCCAGCATTAGGTCCCTAAGATCCCTCTGTTTTAAGCGTGTGAACATTAGTGGAGAAATTCTTGAATACTTCCTTTCCAGTTGTCCTATTCTCGAATCTTTACTAGTTGAAAACTCGAACATTTAGTGAATTTAAAAGTGATTGGTTCTTCACTTCGGCTGAAGTTTTTGGAGATATCCTTCTGTCCCAATTTGTTGGGTCTTGAGGTTTGTGCTACTAGTCTTGTGTCATTTAAATATTTTGGACTGAGCCAAAGTGTAAATATGCAAATTAAGGATGCATTCCAGCTTGCTGAGCTGTCTATTTCAAATCACATTGATCCAATAGACTCTGCTTTTTTCCCATTTTCAAGCTACTTCTGGCAGCTTGAGACTCTTTCGTTGGGCCTGCATTTGACTCATTGGAAAAGGGTTAGTTTATATTTCTTTGAGCAAATACTTTTCAAAATTATACCAATGGGCATGGATTTTTTATTTTTAATAAGTTTTGCTTTTTCAGGGTAATAGAGGATTCAAACAACTTCCTGAATTTACCAAGCTCAAGCACTTGACATTGGAAGTTATAGCAGATGAATCTACAAGCATTCTCGGTTGGACTACCTTAATAAATGCATCACCTTCGCTGCATAAACTTAAATTAAAGGTAAATAATTTTTTTTAATACATTTATATAATGACAGAGGATAATTATCTCTCATGTCTTCGTCTCACAGCAACAACCGTGGATAGAAATTACTTGTATTGGATAACGGTCTTCTTTATGTCAAGATTTCTAAATTTTAAACACAAATTTTATTTTTTATTTTTTCTTAAACACAAAAATTGTTATTTATATAATTTTTTATTGTTAAAAATATAATCTCTGTAGGTCCCATCTTGTAGTTACAATTGTTTAACAAGTTGTAACTACAAGCGAAGGCCCTTATGAGAGTTCCTTCTCATCTTCCGTCGCATAGTTCTCTACATGATGCAATAGAATATGAACGCACATCCGTAGGCAAATTCTCACATATTAGCTCACCTAAAACCAAAAACATGAAATAATATACACCCTCTTTGAATAACTACGTATATGCATGTATGATAAAAGATTGTGTAATATGAGTATATGTTCATGTACATATATAAGTAAAGAGAAATGAGATGAGAGGTACGTACGTATCTAGAGTTCCTAGGAGGAACAGAGCTAAAGAGCAAACAAAGAAGAGAACAAATGACAATTTCGTTGATGAGGCAATGGTGTTTGTTTGTTCATCTTTTTGTTTTTCTCCTTTATTGGGAGATAGATATTTTAGTTAGTGATTTGGTGAATGTTTGCACATCTGGAAGAAATTGGGTTTCTAGGAGAGAATAAATAGAAGAGGTTTTGTGTTTTTGTTTGTGTGTGTCTCTCTCTATGTGTGTGTACACAACATAACTTAACAGATAATCCAAGTGAGCTAGTTAGGAAGAATTCACATGATGGTAATGTAGGGGAAGATCAAACTTAACATGTATGGAGTTATTAACAGGGGCGGAGCTCCCTGTATAGCCCAGGTCCCAAAAAAAAAATAATAATAATAATTAGTACTACTATTTCCTATTAGCCATAGCCAAGCCTAGCCCAGCCCAGTCCAACAGAGCCCAAGCTGCTCAATCCATAATAAAACATAAATGATAAATGGCCTAACCCAGAAAACAAGCCTACAAACATATTAGAACTAGAAGATTGAAGAAGACCTGGGGGTTAGGGGTTGTTTGAAATGATGTGGTATTGTTTTTGGTGTTTTCATCTTTTCTGCTTGATTTTTTTTTTTTTTTTTCCCTAATAAATTCTTTGCTTGATTTTTTTCTTTAGCCCCCCCTATTTTCAAATCCTGGCTCCGCCCTTGGTTATTAACGAGGATACGATAACATGTAGTTGACTGAGGTTATGACCGTGAATAGAGCAGAATTGAAAATTTGGGATTCATATAGCCGACTCCAAGTAGTTGGGATTGGGAAAAAGACTTTGTTGAGTTAATTTGAGTGTAGTACATCTATTATATATTACTATATATAACTTTGATTAATTGTCTACTTTATGTACTAATAATTGCCTACGTGGAAGATGAAGCTTTGTAAATATATAGTGTAAAATTTACATATATGCAATATTTTTGCTAATTACCTCGTACAATTATATTCTTGTCCAATACTAAAAAGTGTGAATTGCATGTTTTTAGATATGTTGATCCCATTTCAAAATTTGTTTGGGGATGGCTTTTTTATGACGTCTTTGTGTTAACATAAGAGATTTGTTTTAGTCTAAATTTATCAAATTTGATTCTGAATTACACACACACAAAAGAAAGAGATACTTTCTATTAGTGTCCCCTACCACAATATGAGTTCTCAATGAGTTGGCCCTGCTGTCCATGTAGGTAATGAGACTATGTAAAGTGTTTGATAATTTTTTTAAACCAATTTAGCCTTGCTTAGATTCCGGAACAACGTCCTTGTATCAGCTCTGGTTGTGATTACAACTTGATGAAGCAAATATGTAGGTCACTATAGTTGATTTTTGAATACGGATTAGGTTTCCTTGCTAAGGGCTAGATGTTTGATTCTTTTATTCTTTATATAAAAAATATTCACATTGATACATAAAAGTAAAGGAATCATTTTTATTTTTTAAACATCTGTTTCTAATTATGAAGATTGCTCTAGTACGATTATTCTCCTGCCGGCGAGAAAGGTAAAAAAAGAAGGGTATATATATATATAATTTTTTTTTGGCGCGGGGGAAAGACATAAAAGAGGTGCTGATAGAGCTAATATAGTATAGACTTGCTATAAATATTTGTCTACTACTCTTTGCAGAGCACAAAATTTGTGTACATGGAAACTTTAACATACTGCTTTAATGTAAAGCAACACTCTGTTAGGACTAAAAGTAATTAATTGAAAGTTATCATGTTTGACAACATTATACTAAGTTGCATATTTGTAATGAAGTTCTTGTTTGGATGCCATAGTAGTGCCATTTAGACTTCATGGATCTACCCCTGTTTTATTCGTTGATTATCAAACTGCGTTGGGACTGATTTTGATTTGGCTGGTATATTTTCTCGAGTTTGAAATGCCTTATGGTTGTGCAGTACCATTTCTGAAACGGACTTAGAGAGTACTGCTACAAGTCTGTGTTCTAAACTTAAAACAAACACACACATATATCTGTTCTAAGCCGTTATTTTATGCCTTTTGGTAGTGTTTAAAAGTTTCACACATTCAATTATGTTTATATATATATAGATTTTAAACAAGCATGATTTGCCGCTTTTCTGTTTCACAGTTATACTATTTGGGGCCTTGTGGGTATGTAGAAAGAAAACCCTCTGAAGTTCGCAACCGTCCCTTTCAATGCCTAAAGGAGGTGGAACTGGCTGGGTTTGTTGGCCATCTTGTTGACCTCAAGCTTGCCCAATACTTGATTAAGAATGCCATCAGGTTGGAGAGGATTATTATCGATCATCACTGTACACATATATTGGGCATACCAAGACCATGGATGTTTAAGGAAACCAAGGAGAAAGAATATGCAAAAGAGCAGACTATGCAACTCCAAAAAAGTCTTACCTGCAAGAGTCAAAATGGATATTATTTAATCTTGCTCAACTGTGTTTGGCTGCTCAATGTTTAGTTTGCTTGTACTTTTAAGATGATTTAATTTATAAGATAAAATTGAATTTATTTATTTGTATATAGATTGTTCTTCTAAGAGAGTTTCATGACTGTTACTATTACTAATACATCTGGTTCATGTCTCCTTTTTGTAGCCGGGGAATGGTAGAAATGGTGATACTGAATACGGTAGGATCATTTCTCCACACTGGCTACAATGGTGGGCAAGGACATGCACATTTCTTAGTTCTGAGTTTGATCATCTCATCGGATTTGCACTAGGGGTATTAGAGCTCGGTGAGAATTTGCTTCGGTTTGATAAAATTTGAGGAACAGATAGTGACTGGAGTTACTTGCCATTGTAATAAATAAATATAGATTGCTTGATTGTTCAGGTTTTACAACTACCTCCCTTCCGAGCAGTCCTCCTTCCGGAATGCTAAAATTAAATTTTGATTCCGGTTTTTGCTCTGAAAACAAGTAATGTGGTGGTGGTATGGTTCTTCGAGATGAGGAAGGTTCGTCGTCAGTTTTATCAAAATATATCCTTGGTGGATCGGTCTCTGATGAAGTTTTGGCAATTCTCTTCACAGCTTAGTACTCCTGTGAAAATGGGACTCTATTGTCCGTCTCTTCCAAACTATGTCATGCAATGCTTTAAAATGCCAAAATCAATTTGCATGGATTCCATAAACTTAACACATTATTTATATAATAGATGTACTACACTCAAATTAGTTCGAATTCAATACAGAAATTGGTCATTTAGCACGTTATTTATAGAATTCAATACAGTCAATTCTTTTTTCAATGCATTAGTTCTGAAATTGAACATAGTCAATTCATTCGGAAATATATATGTACCTTATAATTGTGGTAATAATAATAATAATAATATTATGTGTATGTGTATATATATATATAGATTTAGAGAAAAAGATAGTAATACTTATGCATGATACGTGTATTTATTATTATTTTTATTTTGGCAATACAATAAAAGCCCAGAAGTAAAAGAATGATAAGAGGCGCAGAGGCAGGTCTGTTAGGCCCAAGAAAGGGCAACTTTTGAATAGGCTTTCAGCAAGTCGCAAAAAAGCAGATCTGTTGGGCCCAAAAACATTTAAATCTTCAGATCCACAACCGATTTTACACCACTATCTAAGTTGACGCGTAATCCAAACTCTCAGGTGGTGCTTATCTGTCAAATAGTCATTGGTCATGACTAAAGAACAGGGAGCATGTAATTATTTCTCCGATCCACTTACTCAAAATTAAAAAAAAATTATTTTTATTTTTATTTTTTGGAAATTGAAGCTACTGATATATATATAAATTGAATATTTACAAATTTGGGGCCTTAGCCCATGAGTCCATGACAATACCAAAATGGAAAAGCAGGCCCAAAAAGACAAACAAGGGCCTGCCCAGCCAATAGAACAAGTTGATGAGCAATCAATTAATTGCCATTGAAAACGTTCATGTTGCTGATCACAACGACATTACGGTGAGGGTTTCAACTCTTGCGAACATACTTTCCCAACACGGATCTTTCTTCGTTCTGTGAAGAAAACTAGGGCTCCTCTTTTAAATCTTCGATTGAGGTGAGTCTCTTTTTCTGATTTCTGTGTTTTTTTCTTTTCATAAATTTCTATTATCATAAGCTCCTTCTTTAATCTTTAAATTTTTTTTGGGTACTCTATGCATAGCTTATTTATATATAAATTATGAGGAGAATAATTTCAATGAGGAAAAGGATGAGATTCATCTCTAAACGCAGAAAAGAACACAAGGTACGTATTTATGTCTTTGTATATATATATTTTTTTTTGTTGGTCAATAGCTATGTTAACTTTGATCAGTCTTAAAGGTGGTTTTTTTTTTTACCTGGGTGATTAGATTAGTCTAGTGTTTTTGCTGAAGTATTCTTATTTAAAGCTTCTTTTTTTTCCCCTGGGTGATTGGATTAATTCTAGGGTTTTTGCTGAAGCATTCTTATTTTTTTATTTTTTATTTTTTATTTTTTTTATTATTAATTTTTATTATTTTTTTTTCTCTGGTTGATTGGATTAGTCTAGTGTTTTTGCTGAGGCATTCTTATTTAAAGATTTTTTTTGGGGCGATTGGATTAGTCTAGTATTTTTGCTGAAGCATTCTTATTTAAAGATTTTTTTTTTTTTTTTTTTTTTTTGGGTGATTGGATTAGTCTAGTATTTTTGCTGAAGCATTCATATTTAAAGGTTTTTTCTTTTCTTTTCTGAGTGATTGGATTAGTCTAGTGTATTTGCTGAAGAATTCTTATTTAATGGTTTTTTTTTTTTGGTAATTTTTGCCCATTATTTTGGTTCATCAGAGTAAACACTACAAGGACTTGATTAGTGGGCTGCCTGATGAAATTCTTGTTTCTGTTGTGTCTCATCTGGGAATTAGAGAAGCGGCAAGCACTTGTGTACTCTCAAAAAGATGGGAACGTTTGTGGTCATTTAACAGGGTTCTAAACTTTGATGCCTTACAAACAATTTTTGAACTTGAAATGAATGAGGAGCTGCTGGAAGTAGAAAGATCTAGGTACATAAGTTGGGTGAACAAAGTCCTGGAGTCGCATCGTGGTTCAACCATAGATGAGTTTAGAGTTTCTTTTTATTTGAATATCTCTTCTAGTTGTGTCATTGATAGATGGATTGAGTTTGCAATAGCAAAGTGTGTACAAAGGCTTGAGATGGACTTCGAACCATGTACCTTGTCAGCAGAGGCTGCTGGTATAGCATATACTTTTCCAAACCAGAGTTATATTCACATCAAAAGTCCTGCGGGTTTATCCAGCATTAGGTCTCTAAGATCCCTCTGTTTTAAGCGTGTGAACATTAGTGGAGAAATTCTTGAATACTTCCTTTCCAATTGTCCTCTTCTCGAATCTTTACTAGTAGAAAGCTCGGAACATTTAGTGAATTTTAAAGTTATTGGTTCTTCACTTCGGCTGAAGTTTTTGGAGATATCCTTCTGCCCCAACTTGATGGGTCTTGAGGTTTGTGCTACTAGTCTTGTGTCATTTAAATATTTTGGACTGCGTCAAAGAGTAAATATGCAAATTAAGGATGCATTTCAGCTTGCTGAGTTGTCTATTTCAAATCACATTGATCCAATAGACTCTGCTTTTTTCCCATTTTCAAGCTACTTTTCGCAGCTTGAGACTCTTTCATTCGGCATGGATTTGAGTCGTTGGAAAAGGGTTAGTTTATATTTCTTTGAGCAAATACTTTTCAAAATTATACCAATGGGCATGAATTTTTTTTTTTATTAAGTTTTGCATTTTCAGGGTAATAGAGGACTCAAACAACTTCCTGAATTTACCAAGCTCAAGCAGTTGACATTGGAAGTTATAGCAGATGAATCTACAAGCATTCTCGGCTGGACTACCTTAATAAATGCATCACCTTCGCTGCACAAACTTAAATTAAAGGTAAATAATTTTTTTTTTATTGATTTGTATAATGATAGAGGATAATTATATCTCGTGTCTTCCTCGCACAGCGACAACCGTGGATAAAAGTTACTTGCATTGGATAATGGTCTTCTTTTGTCCAGATTTCTAAATTTTGAACACAAAAATTGTTATTTATATAATTTTTTATCGTTAAAAATATAATCTCTGTAGGTCCCATCTTGTGAAGGTATGATATAAGAATGTGTACATTGAAATATTGAATATATGTTCATGTTCATATTCTTTCTTGCAATTTGTTAACAAATCTTTGAATTGCAAGCTGAGCTACTTATATTTCAGATTTTTGTTTAACAAATTGTAACTAACAAGGGAAGACCCTTATGAGAGTTCCTTCTCATCTTCCGTCGCATAGTTCTCTACATGATGCAATAGAATACGAACGCACATCCGTAGGCAAATTCTCACATATTAGCTCACCTAAAACCAAAAACATCCAATAATATACTCTTTTTGAATAACTACCTATATGCATGTGTGATAGAAGAATGTGTAATATATGTTCCTGTACATATATAAGTTGAGTGAAATGAGATGAGAGGTACGTACGTACCTAGAGTTCCTTGGAGGAAGAGAGCTAAAGAGCAAACAAAGAAGAGAACAAATGACAATTTGGTTGATGAGGCAATGGTGTTTGTTTGTTCTTCTTTTTGTTTTTCTCCTTTATTGGGAGACATATATATATATATATATATATATATATATATATTAGTTTGTGATTTGGTGAATGTATGCACTTCTGGAAGAAATTGGGTTTCTAGGAGAGAAAAAATAGAAGAGGTTTTGTGTTTTTGTTTGTGCATTTGTCTCTCTATGTTCGTATACACAACATAACTCAGCAGATAATCTAAGTGAGCTAGTTAGGAAGAATTCACATTGAGGGTAATGTAGGGGAAGATCAAACTTAACATGTGGGGGAAGACCAAACTTAACATGTATAGAGTTAGTAACGAGGATATGATAACATGTAGTTGACAAAGGTTATGACCATGAATAGAGCGGAATTGAAAATTTGGGATTCATATAGCCGACTCCAAGTAGTTGGGATAGGGAAAAAGACTTTGTTGAGTTAATTTGAGTGTAGTACATCTATTATATATTACTATATATAACTTTGATTAATTGTCTACTTTATGTACTAATAATTGCATGTGTGGAAGATGAAGCTTTGTATATATACAGTATAAAATTTACATATATGCAATATTTTTGCTAATTACCTCGTACAATTATATTCTTGTCCAATACTAAAAAGTGTCAATTGCATGTTTTGAGATATGTTGATCTCGTTTCAAAATTTGTTGGGGATGGCTTTTTTATGACGTCTTTGTGTTAACATAAGAGATTTGTTTTAGTCTAAATTTATCAAATTTGATTTTGAATTACACACGCATAAAAGAAAGAGATACTTTCTTTTAGTGTCCCCTACCACAATATGAGTTCTCAATGAGTTGGCCCGGCTGTCCATGTAGGTAATGAGACTATGTAAAGTGTTTGATAATTTTTTTAACACTAATTTAGCCTTGCTCAGATTCTGGAACAACGTCCTTGTATCAGCTCTGGTTGTGATTACAACTTGATGAAGCAAATATGTAGGTTACTATAGTTAATTTTTTTTAATACGGATTAGGTTTCCTTGCTAAGGGCTAGATGCTTGATTCTTTTATTCTTTGTATAAAAAATATTCACATTGATACATAAAAGTAAAGGAATCATTTTTATTTTTTTACATCTGTTTCTAATTATGAAGATAGTTCTAGTACGAAGATTCTCCTGCCAGCGAGAAAGGAAGAAAAGAAGAAGGGTATGTATATTTTTTTTTTGGCGCGGGGGAAAGACATAAAAGAGGCTCTGATAGAGCTAATATAGTATAGAGTTGCTATACATATTTGTCTACTACACTTTGTAGAGCACAAAATTTGTGTACATAGAAACTTTAACATACTGCTTTAATGTAAAGCAACACCCTGCTAGGACTAAAAGTAATCAATTGAAAGTTCTCATGTTTGACGACATTATGGTAAGTTGCTTATTTGTAATGAAGTTCTTGTTTGGATGTCATAGTAGTTCCATTTATATTTCATGGAGCTGCCCCTGTTTTAGTCGTTGATTATCAAACTGCGTTGGGACCGATTTTGATTTGGCTGGTATATCTTCTCGAGTTTGAAATGCCTTATGGTTGTGCAGCACCATTTTTTTAACGGACTTGAGAGTACTGCTACAAGTCTGTGTTCTAAACTTAAAACACACACACACACACACACACACATATCTGTTCTAAGCCGTTATTTTTTGCCTTTTGGTAGTGTTTAAAAGTTTCACACATTCAATTATGTTTATATATATATATAGATTTTAAACAAGCATGATTTGCTGCTTTCTTGTTTCACAGTTATGCTATTGGGGGCCTCGTGCGTATGTAGAAAGAAAACTTCCTAAAGTTTGCGACCGTCCCCTTCAATGCCTAAAGGAGGTGGAACTGGCTGGGTTTGTTGGCTGTCTTGTTGACCTTGAGCTTGCCCAATACTTGATTAAGAATGCCGTCAGGTTGGAGAGGATTATTATCGATCGTCACTGTACACATATATTGGGCATACCAAGACCATGGATGTTTATGGAAACCGAGAAGAAAGAATATGCAAGAGAGCAGGCTATTCAACTCCAAAAAAGTCTACCTGCAAGAGTCAAAATGGATATTATTTAATCTCGCTCAACTGCATTTGGCTGCTCAATGTTTAGTTTTGTTCGTTCTTCTAAAATCATTTAATTTAATTATTTGCAATTAGTTCGTACTTGTAAGAGAGTTTCGTGACTGTAACTATTACTAATACATCTAGTTCATAGACTTTTTTTCTAGCTGGGGAATGGCAGAATTGGTGATTCTGAATCGGAATGCTGTGTGATCATGCTGGAAATTTCAGAATCATATCACCGTATGGGCTTCAATGGTAAAGTTACTGGAGTTACTTGGCATTGTAATAAATAAATTAAAATTTAATCTCCTAAGATTTTATAAGCTGCTACGGGAAATTAGAAATGTTAATTTTAAATTCGGAATTCTTGTGATACTTGGTGTTTAGTGATAACTCATTAATGTTGTGTGCCTGCTTAATGCTTATTTACACGTGTTTATATGTAAGGAATCCTTCATTTATAATTTGATTCCATTTTTTAGTGCTAACTTTTTTTCTTTTTGTTTTGAGGGATCAAAATTTGGTAAATTATTTATTATTTAAAACTAAAATTGAGTAGTAAAGCTGGCCGTGAAGTTATAATTAAATCAGTAGTATAAGCTCTTCCCAACTATGTCATGCATTGCTTTAAAATGCCAAAATTTGTTTGCATAAATTCCATAAACTTGATATTAGAGAGAGAGAGAAAGAGTTCATAAAAGTGAAGGTTCGAACATCAGACTAGTACTAGGCCCAAACCCTAATAAAATTGCAACTTTATAACAAGTTCATGCACGCCTGCGTGGTTTGTGACCTCTTGGTGCGGAGTGTAATATTAAGCTAAGAAACACGGATAATTCTACGAAATTGTTGAACACGGACACTACATGGAAACTCTTGAACACGTGTTCACACTTCATTATTGTGTCTATAATTTGAAAATATAATTTATTACTTCGTACATTTGGCCTTTGGACACACATTCCGGTCATTTGACCAACATATCTCATTCCGTGTTCAAATTTAACGTGTCAACGTATTCATGTTGTACTGTGTTTATATTTCATATCGGTGTTCATACTTCTTGGAGACAAGTTGAACACTTCTTAGAGACAATTTGAATAAATAAAAGAAGAATACAATCAAATGGGTTGGGCTTATGTTCATAATTGCAACCATTCAATGTACCTTTAGCTGTGTGTTTGGTTGGACAAGCTTAGGCTATGCGGGACATTACAGATCGATTCAACTCCTGAAGATTTCATATATATTTTATTTTTAAAATATATAATTTAAAAAATCATAATATTGTGTTTTGAAGTACCGAATCAATGCATTAGAATTGAACTTAAGGAAAATCAAGTTCAAAATTTGAACCGGATTTTCTCTAATTCTAATTCAAAATTTTCAATTCTGTACTCCCAAACTTTAAGTACCTTTTTTTTCTTAAACTATGGCTGGCTTTTCTATTTTAAAAAAGTAGCCCAAACATCTAAATTTATTAACCAAAATACTGAAAAAGTACCAAGGCTTTGTGGCTAGTGGTTTCTCATTTATCTCTCAAAGTCTCAAAGTGGATGGTGAATGTTCTAATCTCCAAATGAGCAAAATGGGTGTGTGAGTGTGGTTGTGTGTGAGTTTCTTGCGAAGAAAAAAAAAAAAAATTGTATTGCCAAAATTAATTACCATAAATGTAGTTGTCTATGACTTGACATTAATGTAAAATACTTGCGAAAATAAAAAAACAAAACAAAACAAAACAAAAGAGAGATAAAATATAATAAACTCTATTGAGCCACTCTAGGCCCATAGATGAAGAAAGTTGGCCCAAAATTGAATCAGGCTCGATTTTAGCCCAACCACAAAAAGTGAGACAAGAGGTTTTGGAGTCCAGAACAAAACCCTAGCAATTTGTTGGAGTGTGGCCCTAGCCCCAGTCAAAGCTTTTATGTTAGCCTAAACCAAATTCATGAGGAATATGAGTTGTCATGACCCAATCCAAGGCGCAAATGGGGTAAAGCTTTCAGACTAGACCCCACTTGAGCTATGAACAAGGGTCCAGACCACCCAAAACGGTCTAAACTATATTAAGCTAAGAAGCACGAATTTTTTTTTGAAGATGCCATGTTTGCGTCGGCCACAACACTTTACAGGCAAACTGTTCAACACTTCATGGTCGTGTTCATTTTTTTCAAATTATTTTAAAAATTAATATTTATTATTTTGAACACTTGAGGATCAATTGACCAACACATCTTATACTTTTGGCCTTATATACAATAAACGAAAGACATTTATAGATATAACATTATGGATATACGTCTATCCAACTTCTTTTAAAATTTATTAAACACACTTCACATTATGCAATGAACAAAAATGTAACCATAATAACAGACATGAGAGTAATATTGGAATTGGTTCATATTCTAACTAATGTAACTTTAGCGTGATTATAAAATTTGGTCAATACATATGAATTGAGAATTTCTTGTGAGCATATAATATCCATAATATAAATATACTAAACATGCATTATTAGTTTTACCTATAAAAAAATGTTTAGAATTGCTCTCAATTAACCTCCGCTGAAAATTTTATACTTGAGAGGAGAGAAATGCCTGGGTAATTTGGCTGTCAAGTGCAATAGCCTAGTAGCTTGCTATAGCCATATCCATATATTATTAATGTACTTTCTGAATCTTGATAACTCACAAACCAAAGATCACATGAGTATATTATGTAAGCTAACCTCTCTTTTTTTCTAGTCTTTTTTTTTTTTAATTTACCATAAAAAATATCCTACACGGATGAAATAATATTGGGTCATAGCTTTTGGGATCTCAAGTACTAAAATAAATACTCATAACTCAATACACACATATACATGCACATACATTCATACACAACACATGAATATATCCATACAAAAGAAATTCCATATAAATTCCTAAACTGGTACAAACAATGGATTTGGAATTGAATTCACAGATTCCAATTCCATTCCAAGCTACTGAAAGCACTCTCGAGGAAACTCATTCACACTTATAAAGGGAAGATATCTTTCACCACCTGAACCTAGAAAACTTGAAGACACAAACTAGCTAATCACAACGCAGCCCTAAAAATTGTTAGTTCCTAAATAACTTATTTTATCCTTAGTGTCATCGAAACGCACAGCTAAATGCTATAACCAAGCCCGTAACATTGTCTGTCTTGAGCACAATCTAGTGGAATTTGCCATTTGGACGATCAAGTCAACCACTTGTGTGCTGCATTTCACACACGCAAAGAAATAAGTACCTGTAATAATTAACCTATATATATTATATATAGAAAAATGAAAATGTAGATCACCAGTCAGCTAATCTGACTGTTTTGATGTGTGAGGGGACTGATGTCATGGGTGGTGAGACTAACTTCATCATGATGTCAACCCTCACTCACATAAAAACAAGCGGAGTTTGACCGCCTTTGTATCATTACTTTATTATATACTATCAAATAGAACGTTATCATTGTACCATTACTCACTATATTATATACTATCACATAAAACGCATCATCAAACATCCATACTGCTACAGAACATGAAATAAAAGTATATTATTACCTGTAACCCCTCATTGTCGTACCAACAAATGATGTACACAAAGTTATCATTCAAAGCAATTCCAGCCTTGGCATCAAAGACGCTTGACCTGGGAAATTTGAACAGTAAACAGATTATATAACTTGACGGAAGCATGACCTACTAGTCAAAAAGGTTACTTCAGTTGGAAAATAATCCTTTATGTCAAATAATCATGAACAGCAATTGAGAAGGAAAATTCCCTGCAAAGGATACCAATACCATATATACAAAATACATTCATGTTTAATGATTAAAAATACCATGACAAAATACATGACTTACCAAATGTAATTAATAAAGACAAAAATTATAGGAATACCCTTGTATACAATATAGTCATGTTTAATCTTTTTAAGGACCATGAATTCTAAAAAGTAATTAAGAACAAAAAGACAGATTGAAACCCATGCACGATGTTACATATCAATCTATACCTGCTGTCACCCATAAAGTCTCTGGAAATCACGTCAACTTCTGTGTAACCTAGGACTCACTTGAGCTTTCCCTGCATTCCTCCCTGACAACCATGCATAAGAATATAAAGTAAGTAAAAAAAAATAGACCACACGGAGACAGGATATGTGAAAACCTAACTACTATCAAATACACCAAAAAAGTCTCACAAACAATATATGTTTTGACAAACTTGAACTGCAATGAAAATGCCATTCAAAAAACCACACACGCACACACATCAAACAAAAAAAAAAAAAAACACTGTTGACGGTAATCCTTGCTAGGGGCTGAGATAATGACCTTAGCACCACCCTGATAAATCAATAAAACCAACACAATTCAGATACTTGATCCACTGCCAGAATTCAACCTCAATGTTCAAGAATTAAAAAGAACCAACAGCATTGAACAAACATTGACAAATTGATCACTTCAAAAATTTATATTGAAATAAACAAAACTACAGAAAATCCCACAAGATTCATTATGAAAAAATTTAAGAGTATGGTTTCACTGAACTTAAAATCTGCAAGAAAGAGAACTAAATTCACCGGAATGGAAAAGCAAGATTGTCCACACTAAGGGTAATCCTAGTCAAGAGTTAGAGGAGAACCAAAATTAGGATAAGTGATAACATGTGGTTTGACTAAGACTACGATGTCAAACAATAAAAAAGATTTCAATATAACCGATACCTAGTAGTTAAGGGATTGATTAGTTGAGTTGTGTACTAATTATTATTTTAAAACAATAGCTCCACTGACGCCACGAAGGAGATGGAGAACCAGGATTACCAGGACAGAAAAAGATTGGGCGCGCTGTTACAAAGATGGATTATAGTGACTATCAATGAAGATGTTTTTCCACATTACTTGATCAAACTCTTCCTCTTTTGCAGCGTACCCATACCCATAGAAGTCAATGTGGGTGACTTTGTTCCCTTGAAGCTTTCCAGAAGCAATTATCTTATTTGGAGAAAGCTGGTGCACCATCTTTTTGAGACTCAAATGCTTGGTTTCATTCATTGTCTTTATAATCCATCTTTGAAAGCGCGCATCGATTCTTTTCCATGCCAGGAAATCTGTTACCGGCATTTGACGTATGTGGTGGTATCGAAGGCAATTTCACATATTCAAAATAAGTAAATGGTATTAGATATTTTCAATAGCAAAATAAAGTATATGCCGGAAAGGATCGTAAGCAACCATCAAGTGAGTAGCAGCCTTGTCCTTATCAGTGAACACTCCTGTAAACTCAATTCAACTCCTACTTCAGCCCAAGTGATCTCTTGCGCCAAGGCTCGCCCTCAATTTTCTGGCAAGGAGAATGAGAGGGAAAAGAATCCAAGAAACCGCGAAGGAGATAGAGAACCAGGATTACCAGGACTGAAAAAGATCAGACTCGCTATTGCAAAGCTGGATTATAGGGACAATCAATGAAGATGATTTTCCACATTAATCAATAACTTAATCAAACTCTTTCTCTTTTGCAGCATAGACATACCCAATAGAGGTCAATGTGGGCGATTTTGTTCCCTTGAAGTTTTTCAAAAGCAAAGATCTTATTTGGAGAAGGCTGATGCTTCATCTTTTTGAGACTGAAGATTTGCTTGGTTTCATTGATTGTCTTTATAATCCAGCTTTGCAACAGCGGATATTAGTTCTTTTTCATGCCAAGAAATCTTTTACCGGAATCAATTTGAGGTGGCAAGGAACAAAATTTTCATTTTGAAAGACAATTTTACATATTCAAAATAAGTAAATGATATAGATCTTCAATAGCGATTTTTTTGTGTTCCACTTATTTATTACTATTCATCACAGTACAAGATGGTGATAGCTCCATTGACGCACCAAGGAGATGGAGAACCAGGATTACCAGGACTGGTAAAGATCGGATGCTGATTATATGCACAATTGTATAATACAGAAGTATACTTCTTCCAAAATAAACTTGCAAACAAACACACACGACACACAAATGTCCATACAAGTCTGTCTCGGTACTTACATCCTACACACAGAACCATGATTCTTTTTTCTTTTTTTTCCTAGTTAAAACATGCTTTTTTGTCACTGCATTTATCATGTGTTCAGTTATAAAGGACTTGAAGTGTATACCAAACACGAAACACAGCAATTTTTTTTCACACCAAAGAGAATGGTGTTGGAGTTTTACTTTGAGTTTGTGATGCTTCCACTGACGATGAACACTGTCATACTTAAACATACACGTCTGCAAGAGCAATTACCCCAAATAAGCCCTGTTAGCAAACTCAAAAAGCTTGTGTGAACATATATACCTGCAAGAAGAAAATCAACCCAAATAAGCCCCCTATCAGCGTAGTCAAAAAGCTAGTTTGAACATATATGTCTGCAAGATCAATCAACCCAGATAAACCCTATTAGCAATAGTCGAAAACCTACACAGATCAACTTCATCTAATACTTTTAAATGATCAAATCAACAATCGGAACACAGAAATATTGCTGGATCAACCAAACAATGTGAAGATCTGGCTTGTACTCCTTTTCATTTAAACCCACATCAAACATTGGGGCATCCTTGCTAGGGACTGAAATTATGACCACCTTGGCACTACCCTAACGAATCAATAAAACCAATACAACTCAGCCAGAATTTTCAACCTCAATCTGCAGGAATTCAAAGTACTTGCAGCATCAAAAAAAATTTGACAAATAGATCACTTCTAAAATTTATATTTAAATAAGCAAAACTAAAAGAAATGCAACATCATTCAATATGAAAATAAATAAGATTTATGGCTTCTAAATCTGAAGATCACAAAAATTAACACTGCAAAGAAACAGAACTGAATGCACTGTACTGGAAAAGTAAGATTGTCCACACTGAGGGTAATCCTGGGACAAGAGAAAGACCAAAATTAAGATAGGTTATAACATGTGGTCTGACTGAGACTACAACCTCAAATAGAGCCAAACACACAAAATAAAATAAATAAATAAATCTAACATGTAATGGAAAAGTAAGATTGTCCAAACTGAGGGTAATCCCAGGACAAGAGAGAGACCAAAATTTAGATAGGTAAAACGTGGTCTGACTGAGACTACAACCTCAAATAGAGCCAAACACAAATATATATATATATATATATATATATATATATATATATAATATTAAAAAAGTAAAAAATCTAACAAACAAATACCTAGTAGTTAAGTGAACTACTTTGTTGAGTACTAAATTACAAATTATTATCTAAATACAATAGCAAAATTCTTATCAGACAGTACCTTTATGTAATATAATAAGATTGTTTTGTGGTTACAATTTATCAGAGTGGAAGATGATGATAGCTCCACCGACGCCATGAAGGAGATGGGAGAACCAGGACTGAAAAAGATCGGACGCGCTGTTACGAAGCTGGATTATAGGGACAATCAATGAAGATGTTTCTCTGCATCAATGACTTAATCAAACTCTTCCTCTTTTGCAGCGCACCCATACCCAATAGAGGTCAATGTGGGCAACATTGTTCACTTGAAGCTTTTCAAAAGCAACTATCTTATTTGGAGAAGGCTCATGCTTCATCTTTTTGAGACTCGAGACTTGGTTGGTTTCAATGATCGTCTTTATAATCCAGCTTTACAACAGCGCATCGGTTCTTTTCAATGACAAGAAATCTGTTATCCGCATAATAAGTAAATGATATAGATCTTCAATAGAATTTATTACTATTCATTACTATTCTATCACAATACAAGAATGATGATAGCTCCACTGATGCAATAAAGGAAATGGAGAACCGGGATTACCAGGACTGGAAAAAGATCAGGAGCGCTATTGCAGAGCTGGATTATAGGGACCATCAATGAGGATGTTTTTCCACGTTAATCAATGACTTAATCAAACTCTCCCTCTTTTGCAGTGTACCGATACCCAATAGAGATAAGTGTGAGCGAATTTGTTCCCTTGATCCCTTTGAAGCTTTTCAAAAGTAACTATCTTATTTATTTGGAGAAGGCTGATTCTTCTTCTTCTTGAGACTCTAAGACTTGCTTGGTTTCATTGATCGTCTTCATAATCCAACTTTGCAACAGTGCATCTGTTCTTTTCCATGCCAAGAAATCTGTTACCAACATTGATTTATGTGCTGGCAAGAACAAAATTTTCATTTTGAAAGTCAGTTTCACATATTCAAAATAAGTAAATGATAAAGATCTTCAATACCAATTCATCGCACTACAAGATGATGATGATGATAGCTCCACTGATGCCATGAAGGAGATGGAGAACCAGGATTACACGGACTGGAAAAGACTGGGGCAAGCTGTTGCAAAGATGGATCATAGGGACAATCGATGAATATAATTTTCCACATTAATCAAACTCTTCCTGTTCTGCAGCATACCCATACCCAATATTCACTTGAAGCTTTCCAGAAGCAACTATCTTATCTGGAGACGCAAGATTTGATTGGTTTTCATTGATCGTCTTTATAATCTACCTTTGCAACAGCACATCGGTTCCTTTCCATGCCAAAAAAATCTGTATATGTGGTAGCAAGGAACAAAATTTTCATTTTGAGAGGCAATTTCACATATTCAGAATAAGTGAATGATATAGATCTGCAATGGCAAATTAAAGTATACGCAGGAAAGGATCATAGTAACCATCAAGGGAGCAGGCTTGTCCTTATCACTAAACACTACTGTAGACTCAACAATATATTCAGCTCCTGTTTCAGGTGGTTCTTAATAAATTCAAATCAACAAAAAACTACATAAGCCCTGTTAGCATAATCAAAAATCTAGTTTAAACATATATGTCCGCAACATCATTCAACCCAAATAAACCCTATTACCAATAGTAAAAGAAAACTACATAGATCCACTCATATATAATACTATTTTAACATCAAATCAACAATCAGAACACTAATTGGAACCCAAATTTTATTTATGAATAATAGAGTGATATGCTGATCAGATCTTTAAGTATGAACAACCAAACTACAGTTTAAATCAAATCAAGTTTTAAGTAGATCAGAGAAAGCACAGTATCAAAAGCATCATTATGCGATCAAAAAGGCAATCAAGTACCATGTAGTCAGTAGAGATCGACATAGTCTCTCTGCAGAGCAACTCCCGCCACCAAATCGGCCCATCCTTCCGAAACCTACACCAAGTTCACAACTTTATGACTAACCAAATATTAAGTAAAGCAAATCTGTGATTATATTCATAATTTTACGATTATATCTGCAATACGCTAGATCTGTTACCGTTGATTCCGATCTTGATCTTGTCCGTACATCATCAAACTAAAAATTAGATCACTAAACTAAGAAATATAATTAAGCACTACAGGAACGAGAAAATCTTACCAATGAGGCCAGACCTTTCAGAAAAAGAGAGCGAACAAGTACAGAAGAGAGAGAGAGTCAATACAGTTCGGGTTCGAGAGATCGAGATCTGGATCTAGATCTAGAGAGAGTGGGTAGCAGTTAAATGGACAACGAAATGAGAGTGAGGGTTTAATATCAAAATGGATGGGAACGACAAGTGGATGGTGGGTTGACTGTTGAGTAAGGTTTTGCCGCGCGCGGGTGTATCGTACTTTATGGTGTTACAACGACTTTCACCGTCTGATTTAGAATGACAAACAAAAATTACACACGTACTAGTTGTCCTGCAGTTTATTTTTCAAAACAAAAAATATGTTTGATCATTGTTGTTCCAATATTTCGAAGTAAAAAATTAAAAATAAAATAAAACTGTTTACCTATTTATAATATATTAACTTTTCAAAAGAATTTAACTGTTTCGATATAGTAGCCAAATAAAGTGAAAATATATATATTTTTTTCTCCATAGACTTTTTTTTTTTTAATACAAATATAGTGTTGTATAATCAATGTTACTGAACATGCTTTCACCATTTGTTTCTTTATTTTTTGTCAATTTAACAACCAAAAGCACATGAACAAAATTGAGGGCTAAACAACTTAAACAAGGCATAAATTGCAACTTAAATTATAAACGGAGGGAAAGAAAAAAGATTATCTCCCATTTAATTTGAAATTGAGAAAATTAAAAGGGAAAATGAGAGGTAGGCAATTCTTTTTTATATTGTAAAAGTGAAAGGATTTTGAATGAACATATAGGAGAGTTAGGAAGATAACAAAATGGGATAAAATAATGGAAAGGAGTGAAATAAACATGATTTTAAACTAAACATGATTTTAAGTTATATTTCCTTTAGCTTTTCTCTTTTTCAATTTCTTCAACTATTATTAGTTTGGTAGAGATTTTTTACTTTTTTAGGACCAACTAAAATCATTTTTTTTTTTTTTTGGAAAAAAATAAATTCGAATAGAAAATTGAATACACAACCTTTCATAAGAAGGAAGAGAAATAAATAATTGGAATGTTACGGATTACATAATAAAACAAATTTTTTTTTTTAATTGCAAAGCTAATAACACAAATGTAAGTGTCAATATGAGTTCACATAAAAGGTCGGAGTTCAACTCCGCATGTTGGTAAAGGAAAAATGATTGGGTATGAAAAAAAAAATATTGAATATAGAGTGGTAAACGCAAAATGAAATTCAGACTAGAAGTTGAACCCATTATAGGTCCATTAGATGAGAAATTTCGGCCAAATTTGAATCAGGCTTGCATTTTAGCCCAAACCCAAGCCGACTGGACCCAATTGAGCTCTGAAAAAGGGTTTAAAGCGTCAAACAAGTAAACGGCCCAAATCCAAATAAAATTTTAACCTAAGGTCCTCTATACGTTGATGAATGTACCCAAGGTCGTATATGTTTGGCATTTTGAAAGTCTATATGCTTCTTCCTTTTTTTTGTTTTAATTTTATATTTTTTTGAACTAAGAACAAAAACAAAATTTTATTTTAATAAAAAAATTGAACTTTAATTTAAAATGTTATCCAAACAGTGTCTTACTTAAAACCCAACGTAGGATATTGCTTAAAGTCATGTGGAGTCCTCCATAACTCTCCAGTGATGGTTATATCCATCAATGCAAAAGTTAATTTCAAATTACTAAAATTGACAAAAATACTTAAACAAGAATCATTATTTCTAATCATAGGAACATCTAAACTAAACCTCATGATTTTGTCAAATAGTTAAAAACTAATAATATATCTATCTATATATATATATATGTGCAGTAATGTATTACAAGGATCTCTATATTTTTTCAGCTCAAGAGAGAGCCTTACATTTATTGAGAGTTATCTACCTTAGAGGTAGACCTATCAATGGATTCGATTTGAATACTTAGATATAGATTGAACAAAAAAATCTGATAATCCGATTATGATCCGAATCCGACAATTCGATTCCTTAACAAATCGAATATGAATTTATTCTGATCGTATCTGATAATTATTTGATCCGATTAAATTTATATAATAATAATAATAATTTACATTATATATATATACAATACCCATATCAGATTTATATTAGATGTAACCAAAAAAAAAAAAAAAAAGATAAATATTATATGTAACTAAAAAAAAAAAACAAAAGCAATCATATTGTTATATATACAATAATGTAGTGTTTTCACCCACGCACTAATTAATTTCTTAATATACATATTAATAATGTCATAATATTTTTTTACTAACAAAGAGTAAATGATTTTTTTTTTTCATATTTTATTTATCTTTTGTTTTCTATCATTTTTTTTTTCTTTCTAATCATTGTTTTTTTATTCTCTTTTTACATTATTTTTTTTGTTCTTTTCTTTTCTTTTCTTTTATTTTTTTTAAAAATACACTTTTATCGGATCGAATCGAAAATCGGATCAAATATCCATTTATTAACAAATCGGATATGGATTTACTTACAAATAATCCGTCGAAATATCGGATTGAATCGAGTAAAATACTTATCAAATTTGGATCGAATCCGATCCAATTCGATTTCGACTCGTTGACAGGTGTATTTAGAGGTGCACATATATATGGTCACAATTCTTACATAAGAGATCGCTTGGCCATAAAATTAGTATGATGGGATGATTTCACCCATTTGATTTTTATGAAGAAAAAGAAAAGAAAAAAACCTATTCTATATGTGATTGAATGATAAGAAGTTATATTTTATTTTTTATTTTTTATCACTTTAAGAAACTCACACATTGCATCTTTTTATAGGGATTTGAAATATGAATCTTTTATTTTGAATGACGATACCGAAAAAGTTATACCGAACTAAAGCCTTGATAATGATTAGAAGTTAAAAGAACGTTCTATCAAAAATGACCTAAATATCCAAAATTCTTTGAATTCGAAAGTTTCACATCACATTGCATGTCATTTCATTCCATAAGTAGAAATAAGACTTCAGACTAGGGCTACAACTTGGGTGGGCTAACCCAGCCCAGCCCAACCCAGGAATTTTACAATTTGGACATACAATTCATAAATCGGGTTGGGTTTTGTCAAAATCCAAACATATTCGGGTTGGGCTCGGGCTCAACCCGAACCTAACCTAAAACCCAAAATTAAAATTTTTTTTTTCTCCTTTCTCTCTCCTCTCTCTCAGCCGCCATCCCCGCCGCCGCAGTCATCCTGGCTCTCAGCCGCTGATTTGCCACCGCCGCCGTCCCTCAGCCACTGATCCACCGCCGTCGCCGTCACTTCCAAAAAATAAAACAAAACTAATACATACAAGTTAGCAATTGCAGAGAGATAGGGGGGCAAGCTTGAGAGTTGAGAGACAGCGGCTGAAGCTTGCGAACGGCGAACCTGAACTGGAATAGCGAGCGATGGAAACTGAAAGATATGGGTTTTGATTTTTTGAACAATCTGAAATGATATGCTGATATGGGTTTTGAACTTTTGATTATTGTAGACAGATTTGTAATATATGGGTTTTGAACTTTCGATTCTTGCAGATAGATCTGTAATATATGGGTTTTGGACCAGCAATGTTAACTACATTATTTAGGCCAGAGACAAACATTTCTACCTCGGCGATTGGCTCTATAAGCGCTCTCTCTCTCTAGACTACCTTCTCTTTATCTACGGACGCTCAGATCTGCTCTTTCATGCTATTCGCATGGTTATAACTTATAAGTTCACTACTTGCTTCGACCTGTTCATTAATTCAATGTCTCTGTGTGTGTGTGTATATATATTGCATTACACTTTGCCTATCAATGTTGCTGCTAGATCTGTTAGATTTTCAAATATAAACTAATACAATAGAAGGAAAAATTCTAATATGAAAGCTATTAATAAATTAGTTACTACAACTGAAGTAATTTTGATTTCTTTACTTTTTGTAGTAAATAGAATCAATAGACTGACCAAATCATTTGATTCTTTCTAGATAATACGGCATTTCTTTCAGCTGAATCATTCAATAGTTCATGTTTCGAATTCGATTGCTTAACTCTTGTTTGCTAACGATCTTCTCTGGTTTGGATTTGCCCTTTTAAGCTCAAGTTTTGTTTCTTACTATTAGTTTTGCTTTATTAATTAATCATTTCTTTCTTTAATTTCTAGGGTTTCCTTTTAATTTGTTAATGGTCACTTCTTGAATATTTCTTACAGGCAGATCTGTAACAACCCACTTGCAGTTACAGAGAAAGAGAGAGAGTTGAGTATGAGATTTGGATGCTTAAATGATTTTCCCTAAAAAAATTTTGTTTTTTAATAATAATATAATCAAATATATATATATAATATATATAAAAAAATTTTAAAAAAAATTCTTTAAAAAAAAAAAAAAAATCAACCCGTCAACCCGACCCGACTGACCCAAAAATATTCGGGCTGGGTTTTGACCATAACCCATGTTGGGTACAATTCGGGTTGGCCCAACCCAACCCGATTCGGGTTGAGATTGGGTTGGGACTGGGCTGGGTTGGGCCAGCCCAACTTGCAGCCCTACTTCAGACCATACCAAGCTACAAATTGCACTAAAAGTTTAAAATAGTAAAGAATGAACTCGGTAATGTGTATCAAATTCACATGCAATCTCATACTTTTTCTTTTTTTCTTAATATATGTATATATATGTACAGGCAAGCTCTCATGATCTAAAAGAACGAATTTTTCAACGTATCAAAAGTTAAATAGTCAATTAGTACTTTTTTACTTTATCAAACCTAACCATAGTTAATATTTGTTACCTTAATATTCAATTTACCATAGTTAATATTTGTTACCTTTATTCAATCTCTCTCCTCCTTAATCTCTTCCATCTTTCTTGCAATCTCAACCACTACTGCCATATCCATACCATCCCAGCCACCATCTTCACCACTACTACAACACAACTACCATATTCATTCTCCAACGGCTGACTGTTGCTCGCTTATTTATTTATTTTAATTTATTGCTTTCTTAATTTTTTTCTTTGAGCCATTATTCCACATTTGGTGAATAATGGAGTCTCAAACAGAAAGTATATATTGCTTAATCCTGATATGGAAACAATAAAAGGTCTCCAAATTTGAATTTTTTGAGACAAAAATAAGA